ATCAGAAACAAATATCGTTGGTAAACAACTCGTTTTACTTTTATTATGTAGATTTATTTTCAATCAAACTGATATTCTTGAATGAAACTAAATTACAGTAGATCAAGTAATGTTCCTAACAAGGATACCAAATTATTATAAATGCATCATGAACACTACCTCATAGGTCGTGCGGTGATGCAAATTATATAGAATACGCCATCATTTCAAAAATTGGAGAAGTATAAATGTTCAGCTTTATGCAAATTGTTTTGAATAGAATTGTCTTTTTTGACTGGATTGAAAATAATTGGTTGATAAGTTACAGGGTGTACTACTAACAGCAGTCAACTACGGTTTCTGAAAATGTAATAGCTTTATTTCTATAGGTCACATTATTGGATGCTGAAATTTACGACAGACCAGTTGCTTCAGTGGTATCGAAAATGAACCCTTCAGTTTCTGACTTCCGAACACTCGACCTGAGGAAAACAAAGGTCTGGTGCTTTGATAAGTCGAGGTTTTCAATGTTATTAAAGAAGACACCATGTATTGGCGTATCATTGTGTTGCCGCAGGAGTAAAGTGATCTCTGCGGCCTTGACGTGAGACTTTTTATGTGGGCCTTTTGCTGAACGGGTTCCAACTCGGTGACAAAGTTGTGATCACTTCGTTCGGTGTCGAAAACTGAAGTTAGTTCATCTTCCGCTCGGGCAACTGCCTTAAAAAAATGCTCTAATTCCCGATCTCTCATGGTCGCGGACCTAGCAGAGCAGAGGATCCTAACTCCATTCAACTTTGCGGGCTCCATCCAGTGTCCATTCTGTCTTATAGACACTTCAAACTCAAAAGTCAACGGCTTCCCTGTTGTCTGGGGAAGTACAACCGTGAAACGAGCGATTTGGGATGCAAACTCATATGGAGATGCATCCTTTTTCGGGTGTTTATGTCCAGTTGATACAACTCCTCGCCGAGTCAATTCCACTACTCCAAAGGAGTAGAGTAAAATCGGAGCAGCGGCAAACTCTGTCAGAGTTTGGGGTGATAGTTTACGCGGAGACAGATCTTCACTTCCGTTTCCTCCCTTTTGAGTGACGTTGTTTTATCTCGAGATAATCTTACGTCTCTCCGTTATCCAGATGGAGCGGGATGCATTCATCTACGAACTGCACATCCTCTTCGTAATCCTCTCATGAGTGTACCATTCTTAAGGACCATTCTAAAGAACTGATCGGAACCTATTTCTTTTAATGCATAGAGTTCGAGATCATCCAAATGAAATGAATGGATAATAGATAATAGCAAAATTGAGATGCAGAAAAGAAAGGGACTGAAGGGATCTCTCTGAAATGCACCCCTCCTGAAACTAAACCTAGGACTCTAATTCAACCAGATGTTATGGTTGAATGAATCTTTTAGAAAGGTATCAGTTGTTAAAACATCTCACAACATTATTGGGAACTAAGGAAATTTACAATGCGATGTTGTATCAAACGTTTTGCGGTAATCGATCCAGGCCATGAAGAGGTTACACTTATGCTTGCGCTCATGTCCTGTGAGCCCCTTAGGGCTCTTCGAATGTTTTTGGTTATCGATTTTGTTCGGGCTGTTGAAGATCTCTACAAGACGCTCCGAACTGCACTAGGGCTGGAGTGTCTAGATTGAGTGATTTCTTGCGCTCATAAAAGTCCCTACAGAAGGATTCCACCTGATCAGTGGTTGCCGTATAAGCTTCAACAAAGGGCTCTGGAAAAAAGCTAGAAAAAATTCTCGCGAAAATTGGTATTTTACACCATACTTCTCATTCGCTTCACTAATGACTTTTTAGCCTCAACAGTAGGCGTGAAAGGCCTAATAGTAGCCCTGTAGTCCTTCATATATTGGACAGGAGACCCATGTTGTCTTGCCATCTTGTGTATTCACTACTCAAATTTTCGAACCGATGAGGCGAAATTCCAAGTACCCACCTTCACCTAGCCAACGAGCGTGGGTGGACTATCCTTATCCCGTAAAATGAAGACTTTATTCCAAGGAATTACTGACTAATAATATGCTTGAATGCATGCTATAAGCTGTTTACTAGTAGATGAGCACTTTTTTTCGAGGTCATCATGAAGTGAGAGATCTCAGTGTTGATGTTTCTTCCGCTAATTTATGGACTAATACCTAATACCTTTCTCGAAAGTATTTTCGAAGTCAGTCTCAGTAGTTTTCTGCATAAGTCTTCTCAAGAGAAGACAGAAATTAATTTATTGACCCACTGAAAACTATAGCGCGTTTCTATTGGTTGAAGCAATCTATTGAGCATTTTCTGTTTGATTTGATGACTCTTCAAAGTTCATCAATCAGATTTGACATCTATAGGAAAATATTAGAAATTAAAACTGAGTTAAGGTACGTGTCCATAGGTATGCATCGTACGTATCGTACGGATCGTATAAACCGGATCGATTTGTGGTAGTGCGTCCACTGTATCCGTAGCGATCGGATTGCCGATGCGACGGTCGGCTTTTAGTAACATTCGCATTTTCGTTGTGAGTGGACGATCGGAAACATTACAGTGTGTAATGTTTCCGATCATAGAAAGTTATGAAGAACTTGTCCTTATTGCTTTGTTATCAGATGATGAAGATGAAGAAGAAAGGAGAGGAAATAAGAGAAGACATAGAATGTGGATACATGACATATTCAAAAAAATATCACAATTTGGAGAATATCATACACTGTTCATTGATTTGTTCAACGACGACGTAAAATTCTTCCAGTATTTTCATATGTCTCATGCCAAATTTACAACTCTTCTTGACATCTTAGAGCGCCCGTACACGAGCCACATTTTGCGGTCGGATCGAACGTGTTGCAGTCGCGTTCCAGCGAACTCAAGCCGCCCATAAAAAATACTGTACTACATGTACACGGGCGTTCACAAAAGTCAAAACGGACGTCTGCAGTCAACTTGCTGCTGATCTCCGCCGAGATGTCATCGCGGCATCCGCCGTACACTAACCCAAACTTGCAGTCGTACCCAACCGCGTACACCATGGTTTACTTTTTCTCATATTGGTGTCACAGCATTCAATTTTTGATGTCAGTTGCCTCAACTGCAAATGCGCTTTATATGACCGCAAGTCGACCACAAAAATGTGGTTGGGTCAACCGCGCAGTGCAGTCAACATGGCCACAATGTTGTGGTTGCCTCAACTGCAAATACGGCCGGTCTTAGGTCCTCATATATCAAGACAAAATACAACATACAGAGAGGCCATAGAACCAGAACAAAAACTTGCTGTGTGTTTAAGGTATGTATCAACAACAATTAGTTTTGTATATCAAAAAATATAATTATTTAGTAGGTATTGAATTTTAAGTAGGTGTTTAACTATCGGTTGACTCGTGCTAGAAATACTGTGGAAAATACGTTTGGAATATTGGCACGGAAATTTAGAATTTTCGAACTTAGGCTGTCTATGTCTCAAGAACACATTGTGAGTGTTGTAATGGCTATATGCTGCTTGCACAACTTTCTTAGGAATGGCACGTGTCACTGGACAGAAAATGATTTGAATATTTCTATTTCCAACATGAGAGGACTGCAAGACTTAAGAAATATGGGTGCAAATTCGAAAACAGATGCTTTAGCAGTTAGGGATGGTTTCAAAAATTATTTCAATTCAGCAAAATGGTCAGTGAAATGGCAATTAAGGAGAGTTCGAGCTGGAAAGAGGTTCACGTGACTCTATGATACAGTTAACTGAATATTTTGTACCTAAATGGCTCTATTTTACTAACTACATATATTGAAATATGAATAAACTTACCAGTTTGATTTAATCTTTTTCCAATTTCTTCCCAAATATTATCTCGTCTTTGTTGATTCGAATAATGAGGATGTTTTGAATTGAACAACTCTTCGTACTCTTGTACAATTGTGATTAGTCTTGCAATGTCCATAATATGCGTAATAAAAATTATAATTAAAGCACGTGTGTGTACTTAGTGTCGAAATGTAACAAAATTCAAATGATCTGTGAGGCGACCAGTGACTACCTGTTGTAACATGCGTCCACTTATCGGCAATCCGCATGACATCATCCGCACCAGTCGCAAAAGTTGCCCCTTCGATCAATTTCATCGGCATTACCGACGGATCGATATGTGCGATCCGTCCACTGCCGGTCAGTGGACGCATATATTTAACTTACTATACTAATAATTCTAAAATCCGTTTCATACGATCCGTACGATACGTACCTATGGACGCATATCTTAAAACGGAAAAATAAAAACGAAGTCACTGATTTTTTGAACGTCATTGTGGGTTTTTATACTTCACGTTTGCAAAGGTATTTTATTCAACCTATTTATCAATTCTTTAATATATAATTACCCAACAACAAAGAAAACACCAAAGCAATAAATATATGAAACTCTTCTTCGTTTTGGAATTTCAAACCATCTTCCTAGATTTTCACAATGAAGTTTTGTATCACATTAAAATATCCGGATGCGCTATTTACCGTTTGATGTCACCATTTATTGAATACACTGGCGCCCTCATTGGTAAACATTTTTCCCCATTCCCAAATGACGAATGAGAAAACTTCCTCTGCGGCAGTGTTACCATTCCAGTACTTTTGTGCTTAACTCAGAACATTTGGAACTTCAAAATACTTATAGTACGCCGTTTGATGTTTCAATTATTTTTCACCATCAGTTCAGTCCATCTAGCCAAAACAGATTGTCGATATTTATTATGAATTATTTATGTGTTATTTACAACATGAAATCATTCTTATATGCCCATTTTTATGAAATGCCTTTTATCACCCAATTAATTGTTATCATTTTGAACTGAAGCAAGGAAAAGGGTATACACCAATTGATATATCCTATCAATCATTTACGGATTCGCCTTCTTAATACTGTTTTATTTGATCTAGTATTTTCTTCGTTCACATTTTCAAGAGTTGTGGCAACACTGCTTTTCGGTAACAGTCGCAAGTCACAGAATACTAAGCAATTGTTTCTGTTCTGTGTTTGAGTTCACCCTTCGGGCTTCTGCTTAGAAACCTATGGTGAAAACAAATATACAATGCAAATATCATAGGAGAACATTACGTTTTTATTAAATATATGAATCTTGGATATATTACATTTTTGTGGAATAATTTATAAAAAATGTTTTCCTTCCGGTAGCAGTGAAGAGTAGATGTGATTCAGTCAAGAAGGAAGAGTAATCACACTAGATGTTATAGCTTTATTTATTATTGTATGTTTAAAATGGATTTTGGAAACGTGAGCCCCACAAGAAAAGAACAACAAACTTACAGTAATAATAAACCTTTTGAAAGTATATGTCGAATATGTTTGGGATCTGGTGATCTCCAACCCTTGCAAGGGTTGGATGTTTATAACACATTTATATGTCTTTCCAATATTTTTAACAATGGGGTAAGAACTTTTATATTTTATGTGTATCTATATTAACTAACTCTCTCTTTCATTCAGGTCAACTGTGAAGATCATCTACCGCAAAACATATGTAATCCTTGTGTTTTAGAATTGGAGAATATCGATTCCTATATTATAAATCTAAAAAATGCAACCCAAACTTTGAAAGAAATTCTTCTTAACGAGAAAGATGTAGAAAATTATGAGATAATTAAGAAAGAAAGTTTAGAAGACATCAAGGAACAAATCATCCTTGAATTTTCGAATGAAGACAATTCTTGTATAGAAGTAGTGCTTGATGAATATTCTACCGAATTCAATTCAAAAGATATTTTTATTTGCAAAGTATGTAATACTGGTTTTGCAACCCAAAAATCTTTGAGAACTCATAACAGAATGCATGTTAGTAATAAAAATTATGACAGTTTACCAAAAAATTATTACAACTGCCATATTTGTGAAAAAAATTTCACATTTGAAAGAAGTTGGAAATATCACATGAGCACTCACCCGGAGGTGACCCTATGGGAATGCTCCCTATGTGAATGGGCTAGTCTTGATGAAAGTCTTCTTAAAGAACACGAGCAAGATATTCACTTGAAAGAGAGCAATATTGATTTTACTTGTATAGATGATGAATTTCTATGCAATATTTGTGGAGAAAGTTTTGCTGAAATGGGTAGTATGAAAGATCATCTCAAGATCCACACTAAAGTAAAATACCGTAAATGTAATGTTTGTGGATTGACATTCATTCACAGCAATACCCTACTTAGACATATGAAAGTACACTCACAAGAGGAAAGATTTGATTGTAATTTTTGTGCAAAATCTTTCACAAAAAAACCTTTTCTGCACACACATATTGCTGTATTCCATGGACTCCCTGGAGAACAAAGCCTAGAAGAGAATAAACCTTCTTGTTCTAAATGTTTTAAAACATTTGCATCTGAAAAAAATTTGAAGAAGCATTTCGAAAAATGTGAAGATGAATATTCTAAAGACAACTTTCTTTGTGTACACTGTGGAAAAAAGTTTACCTTCAAAGTAAACCTAAATAGACATATCCAAATAGTGCATGCAAAAAGAAAAAAGTTTATTTGCAAACTGTGTGGGGAAAGGTTCACAGTTAAAAATTCTCTGAAATATCACCTGAACATTCACAGTGATTCAAAGCCTTACCAGTGTTCGGTTTGTGCCAAAGGATTCCGACAACCCAGTGCATTGATAAGACACAAAAACTCAGTCCACACTAAGGAGAAAAAAGCCCAATGTTATATATGTGGCAAATGGCTGAAAACAGATGAAACTTTGAGGTCTCATATGAAAAGGAATCATAGTCAGGAGTAAAGCTTTGAAACATCAAAATGTATTTTTTTTTTAATAAATTACGAATGTGAATAAAGAAAAAATAGTTACAGTTTTAAAGAAATTAAGAATATTTGAAGATTGCATATTGCCATTATAAAAATGAATTTTTTTTTCTAAAAATAATTTTTACTCTATAAATATCTGCGATACGAGATCCTGGGCTGACCTGGAACAATAAAGTAAAATGCAGAAGTAACACTGAGCTTGTCCTATTTGTTAAAAGTACCTATCTTTCAGCGTTACCTGCGATGAATTTGTTAGTAAATACAATTTAATTCCCTTTTATTGTGAGCAGCTAAATCTTCAACACAGTCACTGCTACTAACCATCACAACACTCTTTTCTTCGCACGCTTCACCAACCAAATTAGCATCTTCAGGTAATGAAGTAATAGACCAAACTCTATTACTTCTCCTGACAAAACACACACCAATAATTGTATTGTAGTTCGCTTTATTGTTAAGGCCGACTTGCTTTTCAAGAACAGAAAATTTTTTTAAAATTCATTTCTCGCCAACCACAATTTTTATATAAAATTCAAAAATGTTTAGTCAGTCGCACCTTTTCTAGCATTAATTCTGGGACACACTGATAATTCTATAGTCGTACCTATTGAAGAGATCTATTTATCTGTCTCTTCATCTACATGAAAATATAGATATTTGATGAATGTACCTAGTTTGGATAATAACCAAAGAAATGTGAACTGAATGAATACTTTTGTGTCTCAAATTCATATTTTGAAATAAATTTACCATATACATTTGAATTTACACAACGTTAGTACTTTCATTTGAAAAACATCTCGATTGTCATCGATTGATTGTCTACCTATGGGACACTTCATATACTGATATAAATGTAATGTAACAAGCTGATGATGAAAAGTTTTCGTCATCTATCTGTGGGGCTTACCAAATAATTATACACAAAAATGCAAAAAACTTAATAATTATCGATCTAATAATCAAAATGGTATTTGTGAAAAGAATTTCAATCATAATAATATATACTTACTATTAAAAATACCTAGAATGAGGTGATATCCACCACTCACCATAACCTACTACTGACCAGTCACAAAAAGTTTGATGAATAAATTAAACAATGAATTGGAAAACTTCTTTCGTGCTATTGCTACTCAGATGGATCCATTCTAAATATTAGACAATGTTCAAATTTTACTAGATAGGTATTCCTTATTTCTATTAGTAATTTCAAACTTACTTAATGGGCATTCCCCTTACGAAGACGCCATCTATGAGATTGGCAGAGAACAGAGAACTCAATCCACATTTATCTTTGATAATCTCATAGATGTCTTCATAAAGGGAGATATTGCCGTTATTTACTGAGGCTTGTTCTTTAAGGGCAGGTGAGTTCAGCAATGCATTTTTAATTCAGTGTAGCACCACTGATGAGAACTATGGCGGGTCGAAACAGCGCTGTCTAATGTTGGATTATAATAGCGTTGTTTTTCAACTAGTTGCCTTGCAGTGAAAGACACAGGACGAATCTCGTCGGCTGTCAATGTCGAAACTTGGTTTACAACTGACCGCCTTATGGAGCCCCATTTACCTCACAGATGATGTCTTTGTAAGGAGAAATATCATCGTCTTTACTCAGACTTGTTTCTTTAAGGATAGCAATGCATTCGTTATTCAGCCTAACACCACTGATAAAACCTATGGTAAGTCGTTACAGATCTGTTCGATATCGGATCGTAAATGCGGTGTGTTTGGGTTCTGGTTTTCAACTCTTCAACGTAATATCTTGTCCCATACTTTTCAAATATTTTTTTTCATAATTTCCAGCAAATAATTTATGTAGCCATATTTATACATCTGTACCTACTGTAACAAACCAATATAACTTCAGTCAATGGAACAAAGGAAATAAATATATCAAAAATCTCAAACTTTGGAAATCCTGTATATGAACATGTGTCATCTGTTATTTGACAACTGCTAAAGTATTGAAAAATGTTTTTTCTGATACAGTTAATAATTGTATTTCAAGTAGCTTCTGCGACCGATTACTGCAAAATATGTGAAAATGGGACCCACACTATGTGCCTGTTCAATGTAAGTATTTACAACAATTATATTTTGTAATATAAGTTGTAACTAAAATTTTACTTCTCATCAAAACTTCACTGATTCATTACTCAATGTACATTAAGTAAAATATCGATATTAATAATTGACGGAGTAGAAATAAACTGAAATAATTGTAAGGAATGAAAAAGAATGAAATTCAAATCAAGCTAACTCACGTAGATGTAGCTTGGTTAGTTACATTCCAGACCATAAAGCGGGGTTACTTTGCGACACTTATGGAATATTTCACGATACTTATTTTTTAACAAGCCTATAACATGCATTTGCAATTAACAAACAACATTATGAAACTCTTATTGGGATTAGGATTGAATGATAAAAAGCAAATTAGTCGAAGAGAACAACGGTTTTTTATATTTTTTTCCGGGGCAAAAATGTTAACCCAAAAATATCTCATCGAAAGTCCTAAGGACTTGAGGTCCTTTAATACTGACAGTCAACAACGATATTAAAAATGTTCATCTTCGGAGATCAAATGGGTTCTTATATTCACCAAATTGGTGAATATCTGTAAACATTTAGATTTGGAATAGTACTTGAAAGCAACACTACTGATACTCTGATACTTATTTAAGAACTGATACTGAGATCAATTGATCAATTATTAATGAAATGTCAGCTATTTATATTATTGCAACATTGCCAATCTCTGTGAAGTGATTGCAGCTGTTGGTATTGTATAAAAACAATTCTAACGAATTTATTAGTCACGCGATTCATTTCCTGATCATATAGTGTTTCAATCTTCCACGTCATGTCTTCAAGTTTAAAACATTCCTTAGTCGGTATTGTCGACTCCTGTTGCTTCCCGCTTTTACTAATTACCTTTCCAGAAGAGAGGTCTTAGTTGTCCCTCATAAAAATTCATTTCACTTTTCGCTCCAGTCGGAGAGTAAGTGCCTGTTGCTGCTTTTTGATTAGTAAATAATAACATTGACAGTGGTAGTGAACTGCCAAAATGATCCACCCACAATACGAACACTCAACAAATTGTCTCTGATCTGGATTCCTGGCCAAATCGACATGAAAGAAAATGAAGCTGCTGATTCCCTTGCAAGGAAGGGCTCTGCAAGCAGTTTCATCACACGTTTCTCCAACCAAGTTGATATCATCATGAGATGAACTATTCTGGTTGGACGGTAGCTGGTTGGTTAGCATGAATGGCGTGTTTTACTCATTCAATCTACCGCTATTTTAACGTTACTGCGTATTATTGTGCGAGAAATCGCACGTTCAAAAGTAATACCCCGATAATCCCGAATTCGCAAAAGTTTAAACTTCAGAAAGTTGTTGTTCGTGAAAGGGCGATAGTGGTTAACGGAGAAACATATTTCAACATTTTTTTCAACACATAAAAACTTGTTACGTACAGATGGCTCACAAAAGAAACTGAAAAAAGTACCATCTGTACAAAGGAAAACAAAGAAAGAAGGATAATAAAGTAAACAGAAAGGATGAAAAATTTAAATTAGGCAATAAGTATATGTGTTAATCGATGTTAGTCTGATAATTGAATTGAATATCGCTTCATCGTTATAAAACAACTTTTCGATGAAAGATATTTTGAAATTGCTTCAGTAGTTTTTTTTCAAATGCATATTTTTGGTATTGTTGAAAGTTAAAACCGACTAAGTTGGCAAAAAATATCAACATTTTTTATTTTTGTTACTTCATAGTAAAACGTTTAGTTTAATGTAATTTTTCTTTCCAAAAAAACGCAGCTTTACTATTTGTCAATGATTTAAAATGTTTTGAAATAATTAAAAGTGAAACTGATGCATTGTGTCTACAAAACGATATAGATTGCCTATATATAACTGGTGTTCGCAAAATGGTATGTGTTTGAATGCATCCAAATGCCAAATTCTTCAATTTCATCGAACACATTACCCAATCACTTTCGAATATAGTATAAATAATCGGACCTTACATTCTGCTATTGAAACCAAAGATTTAGGTGTGATCTTAGACTCTATACTTATATAGCTATAAATAGCTATAAATCACACATTTCCGCTGTTAATTAAAAAAATCTATGAAGATGCTTGGCTTTATAAAAAGAACCACCCCTGATTTCACCAACATCACTACTATTGAATCTCTTTATTTTTCCCTAGTTAGATCTCATCTCGATTATTGTTCCACAGTCTGGTCCCCTCATTACGTTACATACAAAGTGAAACTTGAGGCCGTACAGCACAATTTCCTACGATATATTGCGTGTGTACTATGACTATACTGCATTGGAATGCATTTTGAACATACCTTCTCATGAGGCTCATAGAAAACATAGATTTAATACTTCTATTCAAAATTATCAACGGACTGAGTTTCAAACCCGAGCTTCTCTCCAAAATATCTTTACATGTCCCCAGTCGTTCAACTAGACAGGTGCAAACGTTTCTTTTCACAGATTTGATTATTCACATAACAGATTTATTCCCAGAACTAACTCTTTAAATAACCTTCAAATCTTCAATACATCAGTTTCCCGCTTTAAAAACCATATTCTTCACCTAGCTATGTAATACTCTCTGCTTGTGTTGTTGTATTTTGTCTAGTGGTACTTGCCTGTTAGAATAATAATAGTTAATATTGTTATACATTTTGATTTTTCTCAAATAATCTACTTATTGTTTTACTTTGAAATTGTGTTATTCTTATAATTTACTTTCAATCCACTATATTGCATCAAGTACAACATAACACTGTACTACTTATATCTGAATTGGGCTTGCCCGTGTATATACATAAATAAATAAATATTATATCGATTTTTAATAGTAAAGTTTCAACTTCAAACGCATGTTTCTCGAAATTACGCTCACTACTACGCTTTTACTTATGACAACTTCAAATATGGGATTTTCAGAAATGAATTTGTTTAGTTTTCAGATTTTTTAACTTCGTTTCATGAACTCAATTTTTCCAAAATTTTAACTGGGCTTTGTCACACTTCGAAAATGATTTGTCTTTTTTTATCTTTCCAAGTCTGGCTTCACCCTCTAAGTTTATGTCTGTTCTAGGAGGGGCCAGGGCCAAATTGCTTAGATTACAAAAAAATAGAAATAACTGATCAAATGAAAAAATCCATTGTCGATATTCACAACGACATCCGCAATCATGTCGCATCTGGACGAGAAACGAGAGGAAGATTGGGTGGCCAACCACCAGCAGCTGATATGTCTCAATTGGTAAGAATTTTTAGATACTCAGCTGAATATATTAAATATATTTCTACGACAGTTGTACCAACTTTTGATTCACGAAAATTGAAATTCTGACGATAGTGTAACCACAACACAACAAAATAAGCAACGCTTCCGAACGCTCGGAATTGTTCGGAATGTATTCGGTACAAATTAAGAGTGATTCATGTGAAAATAAACAATGAACGGTGGAAAGTCATCTTCAGTTCAATCAGGTTGGAGTCCAGCTCCCTTACCCTTTCAGCTGATTATTTAAACAATGAACGATTAAGTGATGCGACCCCATATTTGCCAACTGCAGTAAAATAATGACATTTGACAATTTTACATTTGCTAATGAATAAATAATATTACTGGAGTTTTTAGCCAACACCAAATCGTTATTTTCAACACAGCGGAGGTGTTAAAAATAACGATTTGGTGTTGGGAAAAAACTCCAGTAATATTCATTACTAAACCAAAGGTTCCAAACAGTGCATCGTAAGTAAATGAATAAATAACCTATATTTCTGAATTCCTTCTGCATTTTCATTTTTGGGACATAATTGGTATTTCTACATAGCTGATTCTTCATTCTGGAGCCCCAACTTCATATAGGACGGCTGGAAACCTCTTTTCTGACATATTCTGAAAATCAGTTTCTCATTTACCAAAAATGAAAATACAGAAGGAACTCAGAAAGATAAGTATTTATTCATTAGCAAATGTCGAATTGTCAAATGTCATTATTTTACCGCAGTTGGCATCACTTATAAGGTCAATAGCTCCTTTATCGCCAGTGTGCGCAGACATACAGAAAGAAGATTCAAGCATTTATGAATACGAGCGTAAGGACCGCCGTAAATGCACCGTACTATATACCAAACAGATTCATATACAGAGATCTAGACCTGGACATGCAATATGTGGACGTGTATATGAGAGAACATGCAGAAAGCACGTTCGATAGAATCAGATCGCACTTAAATCCAGCGTTTCGCGATCTACACGATGCGTTGAACATGGATGACCCCAGGTTCCGAGAAAGGGACAAACATCCAAGGCCGACTAAACAAAACCAGAGACCGCCCCCACGAGTCGCCGTCAGGCGGCTCCGGCAAGTATAACATTCTAGAGTGTACTAACCATATATTCTCTTTCAGCAAAACCGCGATTTCACTTTTCAAATCACATTCTCTCAGCTTCACTGAGAAACGCCCGACTACCATAACTCTGGCCGCCGTTAGTTTTGGGGGCCCCCATGCAAAAATTCAGTTAGGAATCCCGCGACAAACAAGAGCCAAATAATAATTAAAACGCGAAGTTAAATAGGGAAATAAAAGCACCTAAAGGCTGGTTTCCAACCAAAAGAGGTTAGATATCAATCTTGCTGAAGTACCTAGCAGCTGGATTGAGGGCCGTTTCCTTAAGAAACGGGGGCGGAAGGAAAGGGTCGCCAGGTCCAAACCTGCGGAAATGATTCCGTAAGAAGGGAGCTTGCGACTTGGGCACACAACCCGGGAGGTATCACTGATCATATTTTTCATGCCGCACTTTGCTCTTGGATTTCCATATTTTTAGTTAATTCCACATCATATTTCACAGCAATCATTTTTGCAGAAGAGACACCATTAATTTACCTCCATAATTACAAGATTTATTTCTCCTTAAATTATTTTTGTGGCACTACGTAAGCAATTTTTTTCTATCAAACTATAAGCGTGGAGGGGTGTAAGTAACGTAAACACAAATACCAGAAAAAAGTACCTCTTTTGATAACAAAAATCAACGGTAATAATAAAATATAAAATTTCTTTCTCAACCGGCTCTTTATCACATATTACAAGAGTCCAATAGTAGTGGTGATAAAAGGAGGTACCTATTCCTTGTTTCTCTTCATACTATGGAAGTCACCTAATCTCACGTTATTTGATTGCAGGTGTGGGATGAGGAGTTATCTCTAATGGCACAAAGATGGGCCGATCAATGTGTCAATATAAACGCTACGTTCCAACACGATTTTTGTAGAAAAACAGGTACAATTCCATTGAATTATTCTTTCTTCTTCAGTATAATTAAGTGGATATTTTTCAGATCGATTTGATGTTGGTCAAAACATACTAACCGCTGTCACTATCAACTCCAACCTGCCTGAAATAGCTAATTTAATTTTGAGTTGGTATAAGCAAGTTTCAGATGTGATTCCAAGCGACATAAAGTATTTCTCTGGGTAATTTTTTGATACTATTATAAAAGCGAGCGAAACGTTTTTGACATTCCCTATAAGTACGGTGGGTAACTAAATTATTATGTACTTTCTCAACATTTGTGGAAAAATCATTTTCATTATTTCTCAACAACTGAAGCGCTTTCTATCTTTTAATTTAAATAACAAGGAGTGTGTGAGATATCATCGAAATTTTTCATTCGCTCGAAAGACCTATTGATGCCATTATGTGTGGAATATAACATCGTTCAAATGTCCGTCACGACTTCTCTGGGTGGAGCGCATCCGAAACGTTCAATTTTCCATGACTCTGGCGCATAAATCAGGCTGAATTTGACCGATGGCATGGGTTATGTTTGCTTTGAGGAGGGCTGTGGTTTTTGACTTATTCGCCTACACTGCGACATGAGAAAACCCCACAAATAAAAAGTTTAACGGGGTCAAGTCGTTCTTCCAACTTTACGCAAAATTTATTAATATCATGAGTATCATGTGAGTTGAATGCCAGGCAAGCGTTTTGTAAACATTTTTACATTTGGGATGGATTGTTTTCGAAAAACTCAAGGAAAAAGGGCCATTTCGTTCAAAATGGAGAATGATTCAAATAAAAAAATATAGTTTAGACCTGATAATTTTCTGACAATAACATTTTAAAAACATTCTGTTCCATTTTTTGTACGACCTTTGGTTAGGAAGGATTCCATTCGTAGTAAGTATCTAAATTTATAAAAGCTGTGTAAGATCGTTTGCTAGATTATTTCTCCCTAGAGTTATTGTTTACAGTTTTACACTATTCCAAGATTTTTACGTGCATCATCTACAACTGACGGCATAAGGCTGATTCTCATCTTTTATTTCTGAACTATAAAAATCATACGTTTTCAAGAAGTATTGTACGACTTCCTAAAAATTTATCAAAGGCTTGCGGTCTAAATTCATTGGCGTGTCTCCGTCTGGAAAGTAATTCAATTCAGGACTCTCATTAGTCGCATTTCATCTGCTGATGAAATTTCAGTCGGTTGAGTTTTTTACTGAATCTTTATTTCATCTTGTGGAACAACCCCTGAATAGTACAACTATATTGGATTGGACTTTTTTATTCGATATAAAAGTTATACCTTCTGTTGAACGAACGATGAATTAAATTATTTGATAGTTTTACATATCACAAAATTGAATAAAATAAATTTATTGTTCATCTTAAAATTCTCTATAAAAAAGTTATTAAGCTTTTTTAGAGTTAGTGTTTTTTTTTTATAAACGGTATGTAATTCATAATTTAGACATATTTTGGGCGTTTCTTATATAACCATAATATTTGAAGATATTTTTCCTGAACAACATAAATGGCGTCCATGCAGACGGAGAAATCTGACAGGCAATTGCTTTTTCTTAAAGTGAAAACTGATTCTGAAGGCATCATTTCTTTCCGAGCAATTCTGGTCTCTTTTTTTTCGTTTGATGTAGAATTTTCGTATAAAAAACAAAATTCATTCATTTGTACGTTGTTACAAAAGACCAGATTCATGCATATTTGCAGGAGATTAATATTTTAAAAATATGATTGTATTTGTAATTTGTGGGAGATTTTTTGGGGAGACAAAAATTAATGTACTTTAAATGAAAAAAATCAGGAAACCAGATTTGCTCCGGAAGGAATGATCATTTGGAAAATAAATTAAATTTTATTTCAAAAAAGTGGAGTGGCGTAACACATTAATATTACATTACTATTCAGAATGATTCAGTGCAAATCTCGCAATAATAAAAAAATTATGCAAAAAATATAAAATGAATATCTACAGTCATTCTAAAGTCATAATAAAAATTTTTGTTTTTTTATTTTAAGCACTCTTTGTTTAGGGCATGAAGTTTTTTCTCAACATGAACCCAAAAATTACCTTGAATATTATGTTATTGTTCAATACTTTGTGGGACTAACAAATGAAATACTCATCTTGTCGAACAAATCATCTCTCAATTTACAATACTGATTGTTTCTCAAGCCTTGCCACGTCCGAGCGCGGGAAAGTTTTGAAGTATTTTTCTCGCTCAGACAGGCCGCTATCTGTTTAGGACAAGGATCTCATTGATTCAAGACTCAGAGTAATTTGTCTTTTGTTACTCTGAGATTCAAGACGACAAATGACTCAGAGCAAACCAATACGAAAATTCTGACCACAGAAGAAGGATAATTTACTGTTCTATGTCACAAATTAGATCTGTCAATGAGCTAAGAGGTTAGTTACATTTAGAAAGACCAGTTTTTGCGCATCGGGTGGAATCCAAAAAAGTTCTTTCGGACTAACTTATGGTAAGAGTTGAGGAGTATTTTAATCTTGAGAAGTCTGGAGTTAGAGGAGTCTTTAGATTCAGATAAACAAGTCTAGATCTCCTTTAAATTTTGATACACATGAATGACGAATGAAAATTTGTGATGAACAAACTAGCTGAAGCAATTATTACCTATCTTACTGTGTAGTAGTTCCGCGGGTACTGTGAAGATAATGTTTGTTCAGACTTTTCAGAAGTTGTTCTGCGGAATGAAATAAAGGTCTGACGAATTGTTTTCTTGAAATATTTGCTTTAATATTCGTAACTATCAATTCGGTGTTCCTGAGAGAAGAAACTTTTTCAAATATTGCATAGTATATAGAACGCCAGGTAGGTATTTCTTAAAAGCAAGAAATACCTTACTATTACTCTTGAATAAATATTTTGCTACTCGGTAAAATGTTATTGGAACAATATTTTTTCTTTCTAGGATACGACGGGGTCAATTAGTGATTGGACAATATACCCAACTGGTTTGGGCAAAAACTGAATACGTTGGTTGCGCATTATCCGTATTCAAAGAATCAAAAAATAATAAGGTTTATAATCATCGTTTTATTTGCAATTATGGTCCTGCCGGCAATGTTATAGGGGCTCCCATCTACCAAATCGGACGTCCTTGTTCTAAATGCCCATCAAAAGAATGTGATATTATTAGAAGCAGTCTTTGTCGAGGTAAATGGTTAACAATTTTTCAGAAGAAGCAATGATATTTATGTAATGTCATTTTCAAAACTTCATCATTTCTAGATCTAATCGATACCCAAAAGTGGTTACAAGAAACAAATCCTGATACAGTTGGGTCGACGAAGGAATACACATGTCATCAATAAAATACGCGATGAAACACGTTTTTTTTTACAAGTAAAAACGGGATACAAATTAGGTAACATGTGCATTTAATCATCGAGCGCTCTTGTTTAGATGATCGCTCGCACTCGTTACATCGAAGAGATAGATATAGGTATATAACTATAAAACCAAATTGATGACAGTAAGTTTTATAATCAAAAATTCAAACCTTAAATTGGGAATAGCTCTGTCTAGTGTGTTTTGCCAAACATTAGAGTTGACAATTGAATAAAAAATATTGTTTCACAGATTAATTAAAGTGCAATCGAAATTTATGAAAATAAACTTTGAACATGGGGTTTTCATTCTTAGTGAATTTCAAAAATGACAGCAATTCTTCATTAAAAGGTTAGGATGGTCGGTGTAGTAAACATCGAATGAACAAATTGATGAAGCACGAGTATTCCTTTTCCGACCCAACGTAGATATTGTGAAGGCATTGTGTTGTAAATTGCTATCTCAGTCATTTGACCATATTAATCTGAAAACCCTGGCTCAATGCGCCTCAATAGAGGCAAAAGCCATTAACATAGAGAGAGGGTGTTTCAATCAATTTACATTATTTCATAATTGGTAACAGTGGTATAACACTTGTAATGGTATGGAATTATTGTGATCGTAATCGAAAAACTTTGAGAATTTATTAGATTTTAATGAAATGATTCAGTAGTTTAGGCATACAGCATTAATATTAAGTACACATGGTAACTGATATTTACCATCCTATGATAATGGAAATCATTGAAATGTTAATACACTCTACTTCTCGTGATGTTACCACAATACGCAACAATGCCAGCCACCAATGCGTTTATTGATTTAATTTGAAGTACTCATTGTCATAAGATGAACAATATCAACTGTATGTGCGCTAGACAGAGATGTTTATGACCAAAACAGTATCATATTAATAAACTCGGCAAAATTAAAAGAGTCATATTATATGTCATCAGTGATTAAACCCAAGAATGGACAAAAGAAACATTTTTCACATGTGACAGCTAACACTAATAACAAATACACATAGTAGAATAGTATCCAACATAGAAATAATATATGTGCTCCGAATGAAATCCTTGTCTGAGGCATTTTCTGGGGCTCATATATTCAAAACCTATTCGTCTGATTCAAGATTTTTTGCGTTGAAACGATGACATTACATCAACTATGTTTTGAAACACATTCGTGATGATTCAAAACTAACGTGAATTTGGTTTTGAAACGGAATTTAACGTTATGTTATGTCAGTTGTCGGAATAGCCACTTGGTCCATATTTTGAATTAAAAAAAAGAATTCTAGTACACTGGTGTTAAAAACGCAGTTACATTTGTAACATTTAGGCAAAAATTATATGCAAAAATCCGATTCTAATTGAGATTAGAGAAAATTGAAAAGTTTGTTTATATTATTGAATTGACATCTGAGACAAATTAAATCATTCCATCCTGGCGAATCTTTTTAATGATTTTACTACGAATCGTTACACGCGAATACACGCTCGAAAACGATTAAACGCCAGGAAACACCTCTGATATTGAATATTGGATGTTTTACTAAATTTTTTACATTTATATTATAGCCGCGCATGTTGGTAGTCTGCCTAGTTGAATTTGCACTCAAATGTTCAAATATATTATATTCAAGATGAGCCTGACGATTTTTAATTTTTCGCATAATCGGATCAGTCTGTCGGTATATTGTGGTTCCTATGAAAACACTGTCAAGTTTGAATGTCCATCCTTCTGATAAGTCGAGAATTAACGCAGACACTTTCTAAATTTTCGTTTCCTAATTGACTCAACAACCACTTATGTTTGACGGAAACCCGTTACTTTCAGGTATTTTCTTAATGACTTTCTTCTCGATATCGTATCTTTCTTTGCTTAAGGAGAACGTAACCAGCCTATGTACAAGAAAGTGAAGTCCGTTTTTTCATTGTGAACAATAGTGGGAGCCGCTAGGAATACATCTGAAAGGGCTAGTATTCTTCCTATAAACATCAAATTCTTAATCCTTATCGGCGTTTCTTATAACTGAAAGATCTAGGAATGGTAGCTTAGTTCACGAGAAGTGTAAAACATGATTACACCGATTTTGGCAGAAGTTTGCAAGTATCTAGATAATTCTAATACAGTATCTAATAAATGTTGAGGATTTGGTAAAATATCAGTTTGTCAAGTTCAATTGAGGCCCCCTTAATAAAATGAAATCCAATGATGAATGAAAGGCAACAATCATTTGAAAATATCATTATTGAAACAATATGTTGTTTAGCGTGCACGTTTCACGAGTCTTTGGTAATATTAATTTACTTTCAAACTAAAAGGCATTTTTTGGGAAGCTCCATACCAGACATTCTGATACATTTGGAGAACGCGCATGTACCACTTAATACATTATCGTGAGGTGACAAGAGGTCCCTTTATCGGAGAATCGAGTGCGCTGAGTAAACGCGCATTTGCATGACAAAGTCATCATAAGTTTCGGTTACTTGAGAATAGGGAAAGCAACATTCCACCATGGACTCTGATGATGAGAACAAGGATGGTATGTGTTGAGACTAAAGGCTAAGAAAAGTAAATCTCGATATTTAATCCGTTTTTACTCCTCTTTTTAGACAATACTTAACTCGTCCCCACTTAATTGTTAAGGAGGACAACGACTGCCACCTGCATGACGGTGGGTACTGACATGCTCCGATACTATGTGTACTTGTCATTTGTCACTATGGATATAATATCCCCATGGCTGAGACAGCAACACAAAGTCTGAAAGTTAAATCGTTAAATGTTCTGAAGTCTCCAACTTACTGTTTTTGGGGGTATATAGCCTTCCACAATCTAAAAAATGAACAAAGCTAAATCAATATAATCTACTGAAATGTTATAAAGAGCAAACTGAAAAGTTCGCCCAGAAAAGTTACTGAGTAATATAAACCACTGAAGAGTCCAATTAGTCAGTAACTTGTCGTATTCATGAATTTTGCTTGCAAATTGAAAAAAAAAACAGCAGAAAAATTGTGTATTTATACTTAGCTTTCTTTAAGGATTGATGTTTCGGAACGCAAACTTTTCCGTTTTCAAAACCTGAAATTCACTTCAAAATTTTTGCCACAAATTGTGAACAGCTAAAATACTCAAGTATTGAGTCCCCCACAAAAAAAGTTTTTCAAAGAATACCTCCAACTACCATTTCGTGATTTCTCTTTCTCAGTCGATATTGAAACTTGACTTTGCAAACAGACCACCGTTAGGGCCCTCGTTTATTTTTGAGTTTTCTATCGATCACATGTATGGCATATGAATTTCAATAATTACCATATTGATAAGGTACCCTGAAATATGAAAATCTCCAAACAAGATAAAGTGTATTATTTCCAAAACTTCTTACTCTCCACTATTACACTGCTAACCCAATCGGATCGCCAGAGTGATTTTTTAATTGTCCATCTGCTGGACTTGGACCACTAGAATGGGTTTATTTTATACTTACCTATTTACTAATTGGTAATAAAATATTTTACTTGAGTAGAAAGTGGGATTAGTGAATATTTGAAATAATGAATAAAACCAGCTTAGTTTCACGGAAAATGATTGAAATAATGGTAAATCTATAATAATTTTCAATATAAAGTTCATAAAATTATACTTTGTTTCAGGTTCAGATGAAATGTCGGCTATGTCATCTGAAATTCCCTTCAACTTCACTCTGGAGGATTCTCTGTTGATGAAAAATTATCATTCTATTTGCTTCATTCTTCCTGATGAGAGTTCTCAAGCCACAATGTTCAAATGTAAACATTTGTTAAATGATCTAGTAATTAATCAACAAGAGAGTGAACGTTCAACACATCCTCTATCAAAAGTATTAAAGAGAATAAAAAAGCTTGATAAACCTTCAAACAGAAATAATCCTTTGGGAGAAATAAATCATGATGTGAATGTAATTAATTTAATTCAAAGAATCAAAGGTACCTCAAAAGATGAAGTTTCAAATTTGATCTCAGATGAAGATTTGGACAATGAATCTAGAAGAGGAAAGGAGGAATGTTTCAAATATTTTGGAATTATCCAAAATAAAGATTATACATTCAAACAAAGTAGGTATTCATTATAATTTAATCCTTTTGTTGCATTTGATCAATTTCAGGTAAGAATCAACCAATTTTTTTGGGGAATGAGGTCGTTTTTCCTAACAAAGTTCGCTTTAGAAAAGAAAAAGGAAAATGGAAAGATGGGCACTGTAGATGTAACAGAATTTACCGTTCATCATGTAATTTGTACAAACCAAAACCAATGTTAATAATTCTGATGGTAATTTTCATGTATACCTTAGAATTATGTTCAATAAATTTATATCAATGAATTACTTCCTTTCTTTATAGATCAACTTCACTGTTTATTAAAAGTGTTCTTTCAATCCAGCTATAGTTTTTCTCTAACTTTTCAAATTTTATGATAATACATTAACAATAAAGAGTATTGAAGATACTGATTCCTCTCTGTCAAATCCAACAATGCACAAATAACACTACTACCACTGAAGCATATGGGACCAGATCAGAAAAGGATTTATTGAGAAACATAAGATTACTGAGGAAGGAAGCTGGAAATGTGCACACGAAAACCTTTTTAAAAACGATCTCTGAAAAAGAACTGGAGCTGTAAGAAAACAGCAGGGAATGGGCCAGAATAAATACAGGAACACTGGACATTATTTATTTAGAACACTTGAACAATAGAGGGATATGGGCAGCTCATCATGTCATATGAGAACTAGGCAATCAGAAGAGAAGAGTAATTAATGAACAACACAAATTATGCCCAGAAAAAATGACAAACATCTAACAAAGGATCAGTACAAATTAGTACACAGAACAATTATGTTGGAATGAATTTCATGAAAAATGCAATAAGCCCATGAGGCTGCAGTGTTGCCTGGAGACTTGGAAGAAATCAGCTAGTCAGACAGCTCCCCGGTAGAAAAAATATATACATTTCATCATGTAATGTGTACAACATGAAAACATCCTTATTAATTCTAATAATTATTTATATTCATATGTATCTTTTAATTACTTTCCATAAATTTGAATCAATATATAACTGAAATAATTACTTTAGTTTTTGTCAAGAGGATTCTTTCAATTCAGCCATGCTTTTCCTGACTCCTTTCAAATTTTCTAATAATACGTTAACAGTGAATGGTGTTAAAGTTACTGACATGTCTTCCCCGTTAATGGTCAAATCCAGCACAGCACAATTAATGTTACTGTCGACTCTAACACTGAAGTTGTCCAATGGATTCACTCTCAGAGATACTGCTTGGAGTTTTTTGGTCAGGTTTACAATTTGGTCATCTAATAACCTCTTTAAAGAAATGCTGTGCTCTCTTGGTAGTCCTAACTGTTGCAATTCACTTTGTAGAGCACTGCTATCACAGCTAAATCTTGCAGCAGATGTTAGGATATAAGTTAAACAAGCAATACAGGCTTTCAAGTCTATTTCGCAATCCATTTTTGAATCGACAAACAATTTTTCAGCTTTCTCCATATCTATTGGTGGGTTAATTATCGCCTTGGCTACCAGCTGACCCAGAAGCTTTAATTTTACAGAAGAAATTCTAGACAATGTATTTATTTCAACCAATACCCAGTCCGGGCAATCTGCATCTCCACAGAACCGAAATTTCATTTTTAATTGCTATACCTGATTGCTATCTTTATTTTATCAATTGATTATTTTCTCTTCCAGAAGAGAGTGATCAGAGAATCGACGAAATTTATGGAAAGAAGTCCAAAGTGTTTGTCAGAAAAAGGTTTCTGGAACTGAATAACGGCGACGACTGTTTCTGTTTATTCCACTTGAATTGAAAATAAAACTAATTAACAAAAACTTGGAGAGAATCTTAATAAACTACAGACCTGTATCATCCCTTGAGATTATAAAAGTTCAATCAAAAACTAACTGACCTACAAAAATTTACTTTACAAAGATAAATACCTTTACTGTTATTTCGTTATTTCTGTCTGTTTCTGTTCAATCCAGTGACGTAATAATGAATATGGACTGGCCACTGAAGAGAGAACATTGACTACATCAACTAAAAAAAGATGAAGATATTGACGTCCTGCCTTTTACGTCATTCATACATTATACAGCGTCATGAACTTTTACGTGTTGCATATTTCCATGTGAAAATTTTGGGATTTGATTTGTCACATGATACTGTGACGCAGTGGCCAAAACGTGTAATCCGCAGATGTAATATATATAAAAGTGACGTCACGCCCAGTCTATATAATCATGTATATGTTTTCAACAAACTCCTGCCGTCCGTAGCTCACAACTTTTTGGCTATTTTCTTTTGCAATCATTTATATGACAGACATATATATGAGATAAAGTCATAAAGACATATTGTCGTCTATGTTGCTTAAGATGTCCTTTCACTGAAACTTCTCAGTTGCCTCTTGTTACGTAATAGATGCTCCATTTAATTTTCAAAGCGATTAGGAAAGTTGGTCAAGAGAACCATTACTAGAAGGTGATTCTGGCGTTATCGGAAAAATATAGAAAAACCAGTGTCACTATGAAGGGGGGTTGCGAAGAGTCGATTTTTGACAAGGGGGTACCTGCAGAAAGGGGGAAAGTATGGTTGCAAACAAGGTTGGTATCAGTGACATTTGGAAGAATATTTCTAAATTTACTATTCAAGTAAATTTCCTACCGGAAAAGGAGATTTATACCGGAGAAAACACCAATATAAAAAAAATACTAGTTAAAGCACTAGTCCACAAAATCAAATCCATCAAACTGGTGAAAATAAAAATCAAATTAATATATAATCGAAATAGTGTTTGAACTCAGGATTCACTTCAAGAACCGGGACAATTCAATTCTATTATATTTCCGTACTTCACGTATTATTACCCCTTTTTCTGAAAAGGAAAAGTTTGAAATATACGAAACCCGAAGATGGATTTGAATATTTCCAGAATATTTGGTCATGATGACATCACAGATGCTTATGACAGATAACAGTTCGCAGCAGTTGGTGGACTGGCATGGCATAAGATATGTAGTTAACAAAACTAAAGATGGCGCAAATTGTTGATTTAAAATACACTTTAAAATTGCCAAATTACGTAAACGATTATTATGGGTACGTGAGAAAAAAAATAATTCATTTGAAAAAGGTAAATAATAAATCAATATATTTTCTTTCAAAATTGAAAATTTTCGTGTATTATAGGTGCAAAATAAATATGGCAAAATTAAATTCAGTTAGGAAAATTATATTTTATGAATTCTATACAAAATTAAATTCTTCTGCACCCAATTATTCGATGAAGGTCTCGCACGAGATTTTAACAGAAGGTCCAGTACGAATTTTAGAAAACAAAATTATGTCCAAGGAGCTACAGGAAGATGAAGTTCAGATGAAAATAGCTCACCAGCTTCAAAATGTACATGATAACATCAAAGGCTACAAACCTACTGAGAAAAACATTTTCACCAAATTTTTTACCAAAAAACAAATTGCTCCCAAAGGTTTGTATATTTACGGATCTGTTGGTGGGGGAAAAACCATGCTGATGGATCTCTTTTATAATAGTTGCAATATTCAAAGAAAAACGAGGGTGCACTTCAATGCCTTTATGGTAGAAGTTCATAAAAAAATGCATGAACTGAAGCAAGAAGTTGTTGTGGATTACACTCAAAGAAAACCTAAACCGTTTGATCCTATACCACCTGTCGCTGAAAAGATTATTCAGAAATCCTGGCTTATATGCTTTGATGAGTTCCAAGTGACTGATATTGCTGATGCAATGATATTGAAGAGACTATTCACTCACTTGTTTGATAATGGAGTTGTGGTCGTTGCTACAAGTAATAGGGCCCCTGAAGACCTGTATAAAAATGGTTTGCAACGTTCAAACTTTATTCCATTTATAGGTATTCTTAAGAACCACTGTGAAGTTGCATCTTTAGATTCTGGCATAGATTATCGTTTGAGAAGTATTGGAACCAAAACAAATTATTTTGAAAAATCTAAATTTGCAATAGATACTGTCAGTCAGATTTTTAAAGTGCTTATTTCAAAAGAAAATGATATAGTTCGTAGTAAGACTTTTACAATTCTAGGAAGAAATGTCAGTTTTGGAAAAGTTTGTGGAGGAGTCTTGGAGTCCTCTTTTGAAGAGCTGTGCTCCAGACCTCTTGGTGCTAACGACTATTTGCACTTGACTCAATTTTTTCACACGATAATCATCAGGGATGTTCCAAGAATAGATCTCATCAAAATGCGTTCAGAAGCTAGACGATTCATAATTCTTATAGATGCCTTATATGACAACAAAACCAAAGTTATAATTACGGCAGAAGTTCCCATTGAACAATTATTTTTTATTCCCAGAGATAGACCGAAAGAAATGAGCGATGAAAATAGAATGCTAATGGATGATTTGAAAATGGGGGATCAAGACTTAGCAGCAAATATTTTCACTGGAGATGAAGAAATTTTTGCTTTTCAAAGAACTATGTCAAGGCTCAGTGAGATGCAAAGTGAAGAATATTGGGGTAAAAAGAAAAAAAAACGTGTTCAGTAAATGTTATAGAAAAATTAAATACATAGGTTAAGACTATCGATATTTTTTGTTATAATTTGTTATTACCAAAGTCTTTCAACCACATGTACTTAAATTATACATACAAATATGAAACTGTTCTTCAGTTATAATATTATGTGACTTGTCCATACAACGAGATTTTTGTACAAAAGTACTTTTACTTTTCATATTTATTTATGTTGACAACCAAAAAATAAATTATTGCATTGTTTGATGATTTTTAATGCCTCAAATTTGTTTTTCATTACTACTAGTTACAGTGGAGTGAAGTCTACTAAAAGTATGCATTTTCAAACTTGCATTTACCATTTTTCTTTCCAATCAAGACTAGCAGAAAGAAGCAATTCAGCACTTAATTAGAAAGAATGGTTTCTATATTTACAAACAGGTCACATGGCTAATAGATGCTTTTTGAAAACAAGATGTGGGGTTGATAATTGTAAAAGAAAACAACAGTTTCCTTCATGTTCCAAGAGATAGTTCATGCAACTCACCGTCAAATTCGCAAGCAGCCAGCATCCCCAAATGAATTTTGCCATGGAGCATATGATACTGAAAGGATCACTCTATTGAAAGTACCATCGGTTATTCTTCGTGGTCCGATAAGTGAAACGAAAACTTTCGCTCTGATGAAGGATCAACATGCTCCATGGTTGATGAAAAATTAGCTAGGAAATGAACTTTTCTGGACCAGTTGTTCCAATGTACCAACGGTATTATTCATTTTGAATTCCAGCAAGTAGCAAAAACTTTTTTTTTTCAGTATAATTAATCTCTGAACAGTAGGAAATTGAATTTACCAAGCCACAAAATTGGTGTAGAAACTTGGTCTCAAAAATTTCCACATTTAGATCCTGAAGTTATTGAATCTGTTGAAAATGCTAAAGCTGAACTTATCAGAAAAAATAATTGAGGTTTGATTATCCCATGCCAGGTTATTCAACCAAGCATAAAGTAACTTATCATGTGTATATCAAAATTAGGTTGGACTATTGATGATTTATCTAATAACGAACATATTCATGGCAATCTTTGCTGTCGATATACCGACAATGAACTCCATCTAATGGTGAAAGATACTTTCAAGCAAAAAGCCTTTGGTATGAAAGTAAAAAAAAGATCCATTTACTCTGTAGAAGACCGCAGAGCGTTTTACTATACAACAGCTTCATCAAGCTTGTCTATACATGAAGAAGATATTGAATTGCGAAACACGTGTTGGGTTTTTGAAAATCCCTCACTGTTTCTCGAATCAATCGCTAGATAAAAACTTTTCCAGAATCTTTCGATATATTTTTCTCCCTTTGGAAGTTTCTCTTTCATTCATATATTAATAGAGCAGTAGAAATCTGAAAAAAGATTTATTGTAATAGCAAAAACTAAAATATTATTCAAACATTATGTATATCTTCACACGTAAAGGAAAATTCTAGGACTCGGTGAAAAACTATTTGAAAAATAGCAAGCAATATAAGACCGTTTTCATAAAATGATCTATAAATTATTAGTACTATTGAAAACAAAATCTAGTTTTACAGATGATAGAGAATCTGCTGACAAAATGTATAATGAAGAACAACCTTTGAAGAGTCTGAGCAGTACATGTCAAGGCCAAAAAATACCCTTTTCATTTTATCCAATCTGAAAGTAGGGTTCACACTTTTTTGTATTTTTATCCCTTACGCAATAAAACGAATGATATGTATAAAAATCATTTATTGAATTTAATTTTGCCATAACCTTAAGACTTTATCTTTTCCCCCTGATGCAACTTTCAATCCATCTGTAGACCAGTCTACAGCATAAATCTGGTCACCATGACCAGGTAAGTCAATCTCTAGCTTTTTCGTTTTCAAATTCCACAGTTTTAAAGTAGAATCAGCACTTCCGCTTACCATGAGCCGAGAATCAGCAGAAAAAGAAACCATATAAACAGCTTGAACGTGTCCCCGGAATGTACAAATGAATTTGCCTGTTTTTGAATCCCACAATTTTATGGATTTATCGAAAGAAGCTGAGGCCAGTAGTCTACCGTCAGGAGAAAATTTGACGTCATTGACAAGTTGTTGATGACCTGAAACAAAAAACAATTATTCTTTTTCCAGTCCAAAGTTGGTTTTTGAAAATGAAGTTAATTTGATGTTTAAAATGTCAAGTCAACTTTGAACAAACAAAAAGTTATCGTTTTGTTATAAAAAGTAGAAAGTAAAAGAAACTATTAGAAGGTTATCCCTTATGAAGGTTATGAAGCACGTCAGAGAAGTACAAAGAGATTCTTCATTCAGAAGTATGCAATTTTTCAAAATGACTACTGAAATATCGCCAAAAACATTTTTCAACTTCCTACTCTTGCCTTGAAATATAAAAAATGAAGAACTCAAAAAAGAAAAAAATTTGAGGATGTATCCACAGATATCTTCTTGGTAAATATACCGTGTGTACTTTTTGGTATTTGTCAAAGAAATCATTAACTGTTCCACAAAAAATAAAATCTTTTAGAAAATATATTTTTTCCCATCTTTCAATATTGAAAGATCATATCTAGTAGGGATTCCAATTTAGTTAGACTCATTCACTCTATGCATAAAGCTTCTGAGTATTGTGAACTTTTTCAAAAACACAACTTATTACATCAAAATAAATCAATCTAAGATGAAATTGAAGATTGCAAAATACCGACTTTCTAATAAACGGCTATTGCTACTTGTATCAAAAACAATCTGATGTGTATAACAAAGATGTGTAGCTCATGCTCAGAAGTTTCTTTCCAATACAAACTGGAAGAGAAAGCCCATTCGAAACAACTACTTTCGAACATATTTATAAACATTTAATTATATGGAATCGCTTTTTCCTATTCAGTTTATACTCCAAACATTTGTTAAGGAATTGAAACATATCATTCACAAAAACACTACACGTTATATATGAAAGAGTATTGATACAAAGGTTCACATACATTAAAACCCATGTTAACCAAACTCATATTAATGAAAATCTGGGTTACCCGAAATGGCTCACTCAAAAAACAAACAAAAATCACCAGGTTTTTCAATACATGAGTTTTGTAACTAATAGAACAATGAATTGTAACTAACATACATTGTTTCAAAATATAAAACTCAAAGTATAACCTACAGAACATTTTCTTTAGACACCCATTTCAGTAGGATACTTTTAGGTGTTAATAGGTTAACTAAAAAATTCATTATTAAAAAAAGCTATTCCCTTTAATTCATTTAACCGAGATTTGACTGTACATGAAAAACTATCAGAAAGCATTCCCTTTCCTGTTCAAATATAGGATGATTTCTTGTCTTTTTTATATGTATACCCATATTAGGGTATAATAGTATACATAATTGTGGGACATCGTTTCTCTCAACATTAATGATCAATGTCATTCATGGTGCCTCCAAAATAATTCTCATAACTGTTTTGTTATTTCTGAAGCTGTTCCAACTCTTTTTATTAGTCTCATGTATTATTAAGACCCAAAAGTAAGGTATGGTAGAACGTGTTGTAGATTGTTAATTTGACCATCTGGATAGAGTAGATGAAATTCCTTTAAGAATGCTATTTGTTGATCAATCAACACTCCCAAATATTTCACCACACATGCATTTTCTATTTCATTGTTAGCAATCATTTAATTTAAGCTTCTGTTTCCAATATTGGGTATGGCATGATTTACTACTCAGTAAAAGGCAATTCAATTGACAAAAAGTCAACAGGGGTTTAATCATCAATTATTATCGCACTGTTATCAGCCATCTCGAAATTTCATGAACGAACAATCCACTTCAGAGTGACTTATCTACCATATTACCCAACACCAGTTCGGTTTCCAAAAGGCCTCTTGGCCTTGGGGGTCCACCAAACCAGCAAAATTCTGAAAGTGGTCTATGACAAAAGAGTTTGCGAAAAACCTCTGGACTAGAACATTTGATAGAAGTTAGGAACTTGTTTTTGCATAAAAGATGAATGTGCTCAATTTTACTTTGTTTTTTCATTATTTTCTCTTGAAATAATGTTACTTTTATGATAAGATCATCAAAAACAGTACCTGTTAGCCTTGCCAATGGTTTCCTGTCCTTCTCTGGATCCCAAAGGAATAGGGTGAAATCATCTGAACCTGATACTAATCTCTCACCAATGGGTTCTGTCACCCCATAATACCTCTTCAAAGCAAAGTCTTGTGATTTCTTCTTGTCTGGCACTATTGTATCTTTATCAGAGTCCTTGACAGGATCAAAAGCACCTTAAATATATCCTAATATAAATAATTTATTTACATTACAAATATATCTCTTAGAAATATTACCTATTCTCAAAATGTAATCTGTATTCAAAGCTAACGTATTAACCCAGTGGGCATGTCCATCTAGAGTTCTACATAACACCCCATCCTTTGCACGCCATACCTTGACAGTTCTATCCTGAGATGCTGAGTAAATGAGTCCTGAACCACCCCATTTAACTACAGTTACAGACTTTGTATGACCGGAAATCGTAAGTTCTGTCCTACATAATACAGTATTCCATATTCGAATATCGCCATCTTTTGACGAGCTTGCCAATAGCCTACAATCAAAAGTTGTTGAAATTCACAAGTTGATTGAAAATTACACCTGACACAATAGTAAACAAAAATTTGAGATCAGCAACGACCGGAAACTCGACATTTCTAAATCAATTAGGTATACCTATCAATTTTGTATATTTTCAATTACCTGCATTCGGGATTCTTATGGTATGGTTCCCAACACAAACTTGTAATCCATTGCTTATGCCCTACCATTGTTTTTCCTAGCTGGTTTCCAGTAAATGGATCCCAAATATTAATTTTACCATCCTTGCAAGCTGATGCAAGTTTCATACTATCTGGAGACCATGCTATACACAAAACCCAGTTTGTATGCTGTTTACATGTAAAACTTGGAGTTTGTGTATTAACGTCCCAAAATCTGACTGTAGTATCTCCAGAACCACTTGCTAAATGTTTTCCATCTGGACTAAAACTGACTGAAATCACTGCCTCAGCATGTCCTGGCATAGAACTTGTACATCTTGTCACTGGACGAACTTTGAAAATTGCCTGTTGTTGATAAATTATATCTACAACTCCTTCAATTTTCAGGTCAGACACGTTCAAAGCCTTTTGTAAGGAGTCTGTTATTTCAGTATTATTGACGTAGAATAAATACGGCATAGGATCCTCCTGATGCAAAATTGCATTACAAATCAGTGTGAGTTGTTGAACAGTACAGTCTAGAGGTAATTCCATCATGTCACCAGCTACTTCTCCACTCTCTGATTTGAAACAGCACGACAGCATTTCAGTCTTTGAGGCGTCCATAATCGTTTATTTTAAAAATAATTGAATTAAAATACAACTCGTTTAAAGAAATTCATAACCTGTTCAAACATAACCTCAAATAGGCAATCAATCAAATAACCAGCGTTGCCAATAGAAAATTATTAACCCCAACTAATTAATCTGTGTCCCAACCCACTTCCAAATGAAGACGAACACGAACATTCTTGCCACGAGAGAGCGCTGAGGGATGTGAGTTCTCGTGGTTTTCTCGTTATTTACATATACAAAAAATTGATTTATTTGAATTATGCGACGAGGAATTGGGAGATATTCTATGGCATGAATGTGTTTATTTGTGTTTTGGAATTTGAATATGAAAAGTTGTAATAAAAACATCAACACTTTTTGAATATTCGATTACGAGAAATAGAGAACAGTCAATTTCCAGCCTTTGTTTTATTTCTTGGAAACAACATTCTAAAGGAGGGAGAGGTTCAAGATTCGTGGTACTAGGACGGAAGGTATTGAGTAGTAATGTGATAAGTACTGCAGCCTAGTTAGAGCTGATTTTTTACATGTTATGGATGTTACCATTTTTGAAATCTATGAAAAATAAAATAATAGAATGTGTGAAATAAACTTCAGAAATATTAAGAATACCAGGACCAAAATATTCCGATGAGCTAGTTGAAAAAAAGAATATTAAAAAATGGGAAACAAATAATATATGTAAACAATGAAAATTAAGATGGAACAATTAAGATAGATGCAAAAACACAAGTATTCCAAATCAATTTACTTTACGATGATCCGTTAGTATCCACTGTCGTTTTCAGTTTACAATTGATCTATTCTGATTTCTATTATTTTCATGTCATCGATCCAAACTTATTCATTTAATCATTACTTTTTATTTCAGGTCAAAATAATTTGTTATCTTTACAAATGTATGCGTCTCTATTTTTTAAATTCCATACCCATTGTTCATTTTCGTTTGATTTTTTAAAATATTTTTTCAACTCTTTATATCTTTCATATTTTAATAATTGAATTTTCATCATTTGGAAATTTGTAATCGTAATTACCATACCATAAGAAATCTTCAATTTTGCCACAAATACAACTTCTTTAAATAGGTGTTTTACTTTTTTTATTCAACATCAAAGCTGAGACTATTTTATATATTTCTTTAATTACATTTTCAAAGGACTGAAAATCTAGATGTTTATTATATTAATTTTTCAAAATCTCTCGATTTGGGTTGAATTACTTTGTTTTATCGAAAAAACGGTAATATTAAAATGCCACCACTGGATGTAAACGTTACGGCTTTGTATTTATACAAAGGTTACGGCACGTGAAACGTGATTATTACAAAAAAATATTTTGTCTTTCAGTTTGTAATCACATATATGGCGAATGAATGTTAATATGTAAGATTTTCACAGCTTTGACGAAATTCAAACGACAAAAAATGTATGTATCACAAACTTCATTCGGAGATAAACTCATTCATCTGTTCATGAAGATGAACAATTGAATGAATGATTGAATATTAATATATTTATTCAATATTTGGATAATTTCCAAACCCTTTTAAATGAAGCCTGCCCATCTTCATCTGTTCAAAATCTGTTTTTCCGTTAACCAGCTGTCGCCCCCTTACGAATGACAACCCCCAAAAGAGCTAAGGATTAACGAGATCTCACCTTTCAATGTGTGGTTCCCATCACTTCTGATCTTTTTATTCCGAACGGAACTATATAATCAAATATTAATATTTTCATTCAACGTAAACCATTTCAAAATCCTTGCCATTGAAGTATGTCTATCTTCATTCCTCATTACTTCTGTTCGTCTCCTTCACCGCAATGTGATCATGTGATACGCACTTACTTCAACAATTGTGTTTTTTTTTAGCACTTTTTCATCCGCCTCAGCCACTTTTCCATAAAAAAATCTATGATCCTCAAACGGTAGATAGAGCGTTCGTTAAATATATTTCGTTCCATTGACTCTTGTGACCACGTGGTATCAAAAATACATCTATCTGCCTGCATGGCTCCAGATTTTCAAAACAGTACCTATTGGTGTGTGCTTAGCGCCTCTGTGAATGGAATGCCAAAATACTTTCGATATCTTTGTTACATGCAGAATCAAGAGTGCTTTAGCTCGAAGTACAACTATTCTGTGATCGTAGATCCTGTGCTTCCGTCAAAAAATGTTACATAGCAAGGGGTCCATGTGATTATACTATTGTATTTCTATCCATCTTGGTATCAACACTTGACCGTCTTCGTATTAGATCCTAATCTACGGCACTTTTCATTCTTCATAAAATGAAGAGATCACCACAACTATGTTCTGTGAAAGAGATCCGACGTACTGTTACTTAACTTCATTTCACAACAAAACACTTTTACTAAATCTTCAACTATTATTCGAATGTCTATCGTCTTATTAGATCGCACTACATCGCACTGTCCGCGAAACTTGACTGTGTCGATAGGCAAGTGGATCACGTTTATATTTGACAATCGAAAGAGGTAGAAAATTCGTCGGAATTCCATCTAAGCCGGTAGCATTATTCTTGCCACGTCTAGAACGGCTGCGATAATCGAACATTCGCGAAACGTCGGTCCGGCTGGGCGCGCTCTTAGCCATGCCACAATTGGTTTATGCCTACCAGTGGCAGCCGGCGTTATTTCCTTTAGGGCATGATTTACAACAGTACTTTATCAGCATTTCATTCACAGAGACGCAAAGCGCACACCGATTAGCCAAAAAAAATTTACTCTTTAGAATGCAATGGAATCATGTTGAGAAATCCAGATTCTCGTGATTTTTTCTGCTCTGGTATCTTCATTACATAGAATATGAAAAAAATGTATAAAAGGTTTTTGATTGAACTTCACGAAGGCTACAAAACGCACTTGTTTTAGTTTTAATACGATTCCTTCACCAATGACTACTCTTATCAATGTATTTTTTATAGCAAATTTTGATGTCTTTTTAAATCCTGCAAAGCAAATTACTTCATATTTCTTTCAACTTGAATGAAATATAAAACAAGTGTTTCTTTAGTCGGATAAATAATATTAGGATATTATGACAATAAATTTTATTTTTGATGAAAGTTTGAAGGAGAAATCAATATGTTCCAATTAAAATCACATATCAACGCATTAGCATTTTGAAGTTACTTTATTAAAACATAAGTTCTCTTAACTTCATTTTCAATGTTTCCAATTAGATACAAATGAAACTGAGAGTACGAAATTTTCAGTAAAAGCTTAAAATCTAAATTCATGGTGCAAAAAATTGATGGAATAAAAATTACGATTTCCAGAAATTTGGGTTCTGTTGTAGTCTTCTCTCAAAATTTCTGTACCAATTTTGAACCGTTGATAGTGGTACGTATGTAGCTGTTGGATCAGGTACCATGTTGGATTGAGTAATAGTATAACTCAAAACAAAGTTCATAAAGTTTTCCAACATTTTTTGGGCAAAAGTTACATTTGCTTCAATGGAATTGGGAGAAGGGACATCTTGAATATTTGAGAGGGGCTCTGAAATTGAAAAGGTCATGATTTTAAAGAAAAAATACATGTTAATTTTTTGTTATCTGGACTCGCCCAAAATTTCAAAAGTTTTTGTTTTACTAATTTCTGTCTGATGATTCAAAATTTGTATGTTGAATCTACTTTTCTCTATAGAGCTTTTCACCTCCGAAAATGGATGTAATGTAAACACTTTTTCAACAACAGAACTAGAACACTGTCTCTAGGCGTGTATTTCGCTAATCAAGTTTGTATCATCAAAAAATGATTCAAACTAATTCCTTACCAAGTTAGAACCTTTTTATACCTACACAGTTTGTTATTATATTTCAATTCCTAAGGGTTATGTTAATGACTACGTTATGATACCTAATATTTGCCAGGTTTCTGCTCGTAATTATTATAAAAGAATAAATAACGTTTGAAATTGAACCTCTGTCGATGTTCATAGGTTTTATTCAATATTTTTCAATTTCGAAAATTTAAAAAGCGTCTTAAAGCACATTGTCATGTACAAGTATCAACAATATCAAGCATTTCTCATTTATTCTGTGGCCATTCTCTGAGGCATGTTGAGCTACACTAGACTTTTCTGTTCTACGAAACCAAATATGTATGAGAAATGTTTCTATGAAACGACTTTTTATAGTCTTCTTAGTCTGACTAACATAATTCTTGTCACAATCATGAGCAGATTTGAAATGAGAGCAATAGAAGAGTTAGATTACTTTCCACAGACATAAAACCGTTACGTGGAGGAATAGAAATAAGCTAGAGAATTTTGTGTCTCATCTCAATAACAGATCCCCAAAAATTAAGTTTACATATGAAATTGAAAATAACTAAGAGCTACCATTCCTTAAAGTTATAGTTATAAAAAAGCTGATAAGGATTTAGAATTGTATATTGTATGTTTATTGGAAGAATAATAACACCTTTAAGCAAGAAAAGATATAATATAGAGAAACAGTATTTTATTCTGGTGTGAAAAGTGTTTTTATTTTATTTTATACCAGAGGTTCCTCTAATTTATTCTGGTGCGGGAAGAGTGTTTTTAATAAATTTATTTTACATCAGAGGTTTGATTGTTCATTAAAAGGTAGAGTTGTTCGAAACAGTAGCTATTATGTTTTGTTTTAATTTGTACCAGTTTGTGGACTTATGTTGTCTGTAAAAATCTTTCTGTTAATTTTGTTTGAGTTCTGATAACCGAGAATTACCAAATGAAATTCTGATCTTACCTATCGAAATTCCTATTTGGGCATTGTGAACAATATGACTTTGACCAAACATCATGTTTGAATAATCTCCCATTTCATCTAGTTTCTTCAATGTTGATATCCTAAATATGGCAGAAGGTTTTTGATTCGAAAGAAATCCTAAGGGTTGCCAATTAGGAGGGGCATTAGGATCAGGCCAGCTGAAATACACTGGATAACAATATTAAATTTGAGCAATATTTGTGAAAGAAACTGTATATTTTTTAGAGAGTGGTTTAGTTAGTAAATGTCAATAAAAACTGTGGATGTGCTTTTCCTTCAATAAGCTGTTGGCCCTTACAAATGCCATCCCTCAGAAGTCGAAATTTCTGCGACCTAAAGATCAATGAGGTCTAACTTTTTAACGTGCGATTCCTAGCACGGAGCAGACGATAAGCAGTGGAAATAAAAAATGCCACAGTTGGAATTGAACCAATGTTTAATCTATGTTTCACTTCATTTTGACAAACTACTTCTTTTGATTAACACAGGTGATCTTAATTATTGATACATTTTCGGTTTCAAGTGAAATATACCTAGTATACATGGTGTTGCATTACACAATCATGTTTATATTAAAGTATTTTTGATTTATGTGAAATAAATGTATATTGTTGTTATCCATAATGTTCATGAGTTAGTTAAAAAAGTTAGTGAATAAAAAAGTTCACAAAGTCTGTCATAAGAATTGTAGCGGGTTTATGCAACAATACCAAAAAACTATATCCATTAATTAGTAACTAAGACTTTACGTAAGAGAAGTGTCGTGTTTATGCACATGTTAATATAATTACAATTAATATTACTGGAATTTTTCCCAACACCAAACCGTTATTTTAACATCTTGACATGTGTTTCGATCATCACGTGATCATCTTCAAGAGATCAAACAGTTTGATCTTCCTCTGAGAAGCTCTAAATAACTCCAAAAGAATGAAAAATACGTTAGATTTAGATAGGTTTGGTAATATAAGTTATTTGGAAAATCTGGAAAAATTAATGTTGAAAAGTACAAAATATTCAATTCCACAAAAATAAATAATAACTATCAGTTGTTGGCATTATTCTTTGAAAGACATTATATTATTTTGTGAAGGAGTTAATGTGGAAGGTTAGAAAACCATATAAAATGGAGCTATTGTTATTGAAAGAACTATGGGATATTTTCCAAAGAAAAGCAAACCGTCATTAAAAAATAGGTCTGGAAAAGGAAAGACAATAAAGCCAGTAATTGGTCTACTACTTGAAGATAGCTAGATAGCCCAAAACAAGTTTGGGAGAGACTCAAAGTTAACCAGTAAAGTATTTTAATGGAAGTAGTTATGCAGAATGAACTTGCCAGAAGGTGATATGGAAAATCAACTCAAACAATCAATGGATTTTGTTCCCTGGGAGAAATTCTAGCAAGGCATCTTAATATTATCATATCTTCTCTGTAGCCTATCAGTTAGACTCTTGGAAGAAAACCAGAACCAGATATAACTCTAGAAGTAGTGAAGGGAAAACTTATTCAAGGATTCCAAAGAGAAAAAAAACAGAGCAACTACTGATTCACGTGAGATAGTACTGAAAGTGAACTATTGAAACTCACAAATAAAATGTTTTCATTGTGATAAATGTATGAAGAAAAAGCTCCACCAGATAAACAAAGTTTAGGAAAATGCTAAGAAAACTATTTATGAAGATATTTACTGTTTCAAAATAACTCCATGCATGTTTGGTACGTTGACTCCAGGGCTAGACAAGGTAAGTAACAGACAAAGACGTGCTCTTCTTTCCCCACCTCCAGTTTACTGCGAGAAACTTGCTGGAACTGAATTATACAGTTAAATTTGAGAATTATCTCTGCAAAATCATGAAAGGCAAAGAATTCACCCTGGAATTTATTTGAATTAAATCAGAAAACCTGTACCTTTCACAATAGAAAACAAAAGCAGCATTCATCACTGACATAGAAGATATAGACCTCGGAGTCCTGAAACAGTTGAAGAAGTTTTGAAGGAAAATTCTATCAAATCATTTACTTTGGTTAGAAATTATCATGAGAGGTTTGCATTAAAGGCAAATTAAGCAGACCACCATCCAATAAGTCTTCAACTCTGAATTCAAGTCTTCAATTCTGTTATTTTGGATCTAGTCCATACCAATGTTTGTGGTCCCATATACCTGGCAGAAGAAAGTATTATCAAACTTTAATTGACGACTTTAGTCGATCTACAGTTGTCTATTTATTGACAAAGAAAAGTGAGGCGCTCGAGAAGATTTATTTGAAAAATGTAAATATACTGCTGGAATATCTTCGACACAAAGAAATATTTCCCAACTTTTTCACTCTAAAGATTCAGAATTTGGTATACCTTGACCTCTACCAACTGAATCACTCGCCTTTGTTGATGAATTAAAATAAAGAACAATTAATTATTTTAACTGGTTATTTACCTTGGCCACCCATTCCCTCTGGAAAAGGCACAACTCCTGTTAGAAACACTACTATATGATTTATGTTATCAGCATCATTAATAGTAGTTACCAACTGGGTTTCACTAATTTGCTGAAATTCTGTTTGAACCTAAAATGAATAAATTGATTATAAAGGAATGTATAAAGGAGTAGTGTTATTTCAATTTTTTTACCAATCGTCCAGAAACTATTATACCAAACATTGCCATTCTAGAAACTTAAGAGGACTGTTGTTAAAACCAAAGTTTTATTTATAAATATTCGTGTTAAGTTTGTTCTGTAATGTTCTTCGACTTGACCTCAGGCGTTGAAACTTCAAACATTTGACTTTTAGGGCTTTTGGTTATGTTTTTTTATTTGATTTTTAATAAATTGACAATTGACACATTTTTTTCCTTCTTCTCTTCTACCTTGGATGTTGGGGTTATGCAGCCATATTACATTAATTTTCTAGGGTTATTATTCCATTCTTCAAACTACTTGTTTCATGCTTGCATGGAGGTATTAAAGAATTGGATGATTTACGATAATATGGATAAACACAGTCACGTTTGTCCAAGCTGTTTTATCAATATTCATCATGCCCCTTCTCGAAAAGTGACATATCTCTAATTATTGGTGCTTTTCGCAGTTTTTGCTACAGGGAAAAAGAACTCAAAAGTCTTACGGTCCTACATCACGGACTAGTGAGTCGATGAATTCAAGTTCTGTGGGAAATAATCATGTTTGATATTTGAAATCATGATTCAAGTTGATGTAGTCTAATATGTTCCCTTCACTATTAATTTAATGTTATTGTTATTTTCAACCTATATTTGAAATGATAACTGACTTGCCTGTTCTTTCTGCGCACAATCTCAACAGGATATAGATACAGAAATACATTTGAACCCAAGACATTTGTCGTTATCAAAATAATGATATATATACCTATATTCTGAAAAAAATTAAAAATTGTAATGGTAAACTTTATGTAGGTGTAGTTCACCCCGCTAAGTCACTACGTGAACGCAAAACATTTTTCACAAAAAAAAAGTTCTATTCATTAGTAATTCGTTGTATTTAATAATCTCGAACATGAAAAACAGAGCTAAAAATTAATACAAATACATTTCTTAACATTGTGGAGACTAAAATCTGCAGAATGTAGTCTCTGTAACATATAAAGCTTACATAGGCATGAAGTTTATACGAATAAAAAATGTTGATTGAAAAATTTGCTTGAGAAGAAAAATTAATTAAGGGAAATCAAAATACTTCTGAAAATTGAAAGTATGAAGTAGTCTCAAACTAAGAAATGATAATATTTAATTTTCATGTGTCATGCAAATGAGAAACGTTGAACAATTCAAGCATTCTAATACCTTCTTCAATACCTGATACAATTTAATGAACAATTTTCACTATAAAGGTTTTAGAAAAGCCGCAACATGTGTTTCGCTATATAACAGCTTCCTCAAGCGGGAGATGTTACCATGGATTTTTCTCAAGTATCGGCCAGTTCTATCCAATAATTCAAATACTCTTCTAGAAGCTGATATTGATGAAATTTCAAATATTAAAATGAAGTTACAATAACGTTATCATTCAATACTGTTTTTATAGAATAGAGGGAATGAAAGAGGATAATAATATGTAACAATGACAATTTAAAAAAATTATTACGTAGTAAAACTGGATGAAATCCAACAGTGTTTCTCATTCATGAAATTATTTATTTTTCTTGATAGATATGAAATACTTTGGTAGAATTTTTTTGAATTTGGAGGTACATAAAATTAATATTTGACCATTATTTACATTTCATTTGGAAAGTATTCAAATATAGTCTCAATTCTCTTGTAGCAATCAGAATTGACGGAATGATATATTTTCGAATTTTCATAGTTACGTTTTGTCAATTGGATGAAAATAGTTATTTTCGTTCTGAACAATGAATAAATAAGGTTCAATTGATTTCGAGGTTTATATAATTGAAGCTTTTGGTTCTAGGAATGGCAAGTTGTTAATACATTTTATCGCTTTATATTGTGATACAGAAATCAAATATTGAAGTTTTGTATTAATAAAAAAAGTGAAGATTTTTAGATATTTCAACTATAAGAAAGATCCGAAATCATAAAAAACAAAATAACTGATGACATCCTATTTCTCAGATTTTGAATATGTGTACTTCGTAACAGAGTTTGATATATGTTTGAAAAAAATATGTTTTTCCGTTAACCAGCTATCGTACCCCTACGAACGACAACCCTCAGAAGTTGAAACTTGTGCGAGCTAAGGACTACGAGGTCTTACCTTTCAACGTGTGATTCCTAATACGGTGATCAACAGTGATCAACATAGAAATCTGAAAATTTTGAGTTTTCTGTATATATGATGCTGTGATTATTGTGAAAAGGATGATTTGTGTCATCAGGCATTAGTCGCCTTTTGTATGTATACTTACAACTAGATTTTCTTTAGTTTTAACAAATTGTTCTTTTGGTTAATTTTTTTTAATGTTTCTAAACATATTTTGAGTTATTGACCAATCCAGATGAATGATTTTGTTATTATAATAATTTGCTAGTCGACACATGGTTGTAAGAGGAGATCTAGTAGTTCTATGTAAAACAGGGATATTAAATGTAACAGAAGAGCGCATTCTCCTTGGAGGCACATTAAATCGCAATAAAGAAAGTAACGTTGGTGAATCAGTTTTATTATTATTAATTTTAAACAAAAGCATCAAAATGGTAAGAACCCTTCGACCTTCCACAGATAGAATTTTGAATTCATGTCTAAGATAGGTAGTTTTCTGATTACATTAGAATCGGGATATACATGATGCTTTTTATAATATAGGTATGTTAAAAATTTGTTTTGAATTTTTTCTAGCAAGAATTATGTAGTCTGATATTCTCCATGGCAAATTCTTGCATCAAATTCCAACTTGGGCCTAACTGAACTATAATACAAAATTTTAAGGGAATGTACATTGGTAAAATTAAATGATTTTCTAATTAAATAACCTAGCAATCGGCTTGCAGACTTAGTTATATTTTTAAAATGTGTAGAAAAGGACAGTTAATATGTCAGAAAATCCAAAACAAACTCTTTACACAATCATCAGAACTGCAATACTCTTCTCGACGTGTGACGCAGAAATTGTTTGATTCTCTTTACGCCAGAGAGTTTCCAGTTTTATCTTTTATTATTAGACAAAATGTTTTTTTGACGATAATAGCATTCTGTCACTTGTCGATTCCGGTCACGGTGTTTTTTTTCTCAAAAAATAATTTTTATCGCAAATTAATCAGTGATGTCATTTGGCAGCTATTACAATTAATCGGTAAAATTCGTCCGATAAAAAAAGGAACACACAACTTCTTTCAAGAACTCGCCGACTGATTCAATGACAGTGGTACACGAAGGATGACACTGCCATAAGAATAGACATTGCGTATGTTCCGTTAATCGCCCAGACTCACCGGACTGGTAATTACTTTTCAGTTTATGGTTAGCACCAACGAACGTTTTTTACGGGACAATTTTACTCTATCAACTGTCACTTTGATTTGCTTTGACGCGTTGACTTGATTTGTATACAACAAGATTCTTGGGTTACCTCAATTTTTATTTTAATGGATATAGCAATGTTTTTTTTGAACGAATTACTCACCGAGAGTGATAGTTCAAGTAGCGAAGAGGAAGATGGGTTGCGAGCTCGAGGTATCATGGGTAATGTTTTGAGTATTATTAAATTCATTTGAATTTGAAGAATATCACAATGGTAATGTTTTACAGTGCCCCGACCTAGAGTCCGACATTTTATGGAGGAAGTAGTGGATTTTTACACAGACGTAGAATTTCGAGAAAACTTCAGGATGGACAGGGTCACTTTTAATCACATTTTGTCATTGATAATTGACAGAATATCGACAAATATTATAAAGGTCGACATACTATTACCCCAAGAGTTCAACTCTGCTTAGCTTTATGGTATTTCGGAACACCAGATTCCTTTAGGTACTTATTAATTTAATTACATAAATAAAAACATCTACTGAATACTTTCCTCATAGATCCATCTGTGGACGATTCAACGTTGGCAAAGCCACTGCTTTGAGGACTGTAAGGCGAGTTGCAGAAGCTCTATTATATATAGGCCCAAATTTTATATTATGGCCCACGAATGATTATCTTGAGGAAGTAAAAAACGGATTTCAGCGAATGGGATTCCCCAACACAATTGGTGCCATAGATGGGACACACATAAAAATACCGAAACCCAAAAACCATGGGAATTCATATGTTAACCGAAAATCTTATCCCAGTATTATATTGCAGGTAATAAGTTATATTCCAGGAATCGTGTCCTGCGATAATAAAGTATCATTTCAACATTAAATGTTGCAGGCAGTCTGCGATAATACCCTGAAGTTCACCCACTGCTATGCAGGGGAAGTCGGGGCACACCATGATGCTAGCGTCTTAAGGAGAAGTGAAATTTGGAGTTTCATGACAGAGGATGGGAAATTTCCAAATGACACCCATTTAATTGGTGACAAGGCTTATCCCTGTTTTCCAGAAATAATGACTCCCTATAAAGACAATGGCCATCTAACAACATAGCCAAAAACAATATAATTTTCTATTATCTAGAGCAAGATGTACAATAGAAAGGGCCTTTGGCTTATTAAAAAAAAGATTCAGATGTCATGGTGAATTATTGGATGTGCGTTCCTCTCAGTGGAGGCCTACATATATTATTGCATGCTGTGTTCTGCACAATATATGTATTATACAAAATGATGTGCAAGATATTATTATTAATGACATTGAAAATCATGAAGAGGAAGAGGATGTCCACATACCTCAGCAAATAGAAAGAGCATGGCAACTTATGGGAAGAGTCAAAAGAAATAGGATTTGTCAAGAACTCAGTGAATGATCTCAGATCTCTTCCACAATGGCTAATGATTTAGAATAAAGGCATTTCGAAAATGGTAGTTTTATTCACATAAAAAACTATATTTCTCATAAATAAAAAACCATTATAAATATAGTAAATAAAAAATATTCAAAATCAACAAAAAATATTTAAAACAAAAAAGTATTCTTTGGAATCCACATTTGGAATAAATAACTTGAAAACAAATAAGAATTAGTCTTTTTTCGGGTGATTTTCTTTTAGCCACTCGAACATTTCTCTTTTCAAACTCATCTTTTCATCGTGTCGTTTTTGTCTTCTATTTTCTATTTCTAGAGAAGATATTAATTTCTTTGGCCTTTTACTCTCTCCTGGTGATAGGTTCCTCGCTTCAGTATTTTCTCCTGTCTTCCTCTTGATTCCACTAGTACTTGCCACCGCCACTGGTTCGAAATAAGGATCCTTAAAATAAATATTTTGTAAATCAAAAAATTTCCATACAATCTCATTCCCTCCTGAAGTGTTCAAATGTAACTTTACTTTGTCATATGTTTTTATCAGGTTACGCCACTTTTCATCACATTTGATACCACTTTTAATGACTCCTTTTTTCCATCAAATCCTGGCTTATTAAATTCCAAACCTTTATTTTTTGGTAAATTTTGGACCATCAAATTTGCTTTTATGGTTACTATATGTAGCGACTAGTAATTTAACCATATTGTCCGTCCATCCCTCGAAAACATTTATTGATTTTTCAGTAACACTATTAGAACTGGTCATAGCTACTGAATTCTTAGAACGGTGGGGCAATTCAAAATTATTTTTTGGATCTGGAGGGGTCTCGGGTATGGCATCAGAATATATATTTTTTGTTGAAAAGTCAGACATTTTCTGAGTTTGATAAACAAGGATGATTTGCAATCATATCATTGGCAATGATTTCTGGCAATTTTCCAATTCCGACATTGCAGTGGCCACAAAACAGAATATGATCTTCCTGAAAACAATAATAAAAATTGAAACAAATTTTATTACAACGCTGATTCAATGACACTCGAAAACAAAAAAATCGAGTTAATTTCGGTTTCAAGAATCAAATATCTACATCAAAGGTTCCAGTAATTATCTCGCATATGTTCCCTTATTTGATGATACTGAATCGGGAAATGATGAAACAATATCGTCTGATGTTAACTGCTTTGAAAAAATATGAATACATAAACCCCTCTACTTGTTTTTGAATACTATAGATATCCGAAACACTCCCGTACAAATGTAATGAAAAATAAAACTTACATTAATTTCCATTGTGCTTTCAGAAAAATAACTATAAAATAGGGTTAAATTCAAACTTTCAAAGAGCAAACAGCCACAAAAAATAAAAGAATGACAAGTGACAATCAACTCACCGGACTCACCGATCTCTAAACATCGGTCGTTTCGGTGACAGATAATCAACCAAACTTCAGGAAAAATTTACCATTTTTTCAGGAATATGACATTTACGGGACACGAAATAACCAACCAAAGTAACCAAGTTGATTTACGGAACATATTCATTGTATTGTTTTGTATCCTATGACAGTGACAGTGACTAATAAATGAGAAATAAAAAAAGTTCTATGTTTTGTGTAACTTGCAAGTGGAAGTCGGGTGGGTAAAACATGTTTCACTACTGTTTTTTATGAAATTTGTTTTTATAATAAGAGAAGACCACTGGAACTGAATTCTAGGAAGTTTTTCGCCGAGAATCATGGTAAATGAACCACTTTTTATACGGTTTTTAGATCATTATTAAGTAAAATTTCTTTGACATATAAGAGACAGTAGTCATTTTCGAAAAATAAATAAGAAACATGAGAAATGGTCCTTTGGTATAATTCATTTTTATGGTGGTTAGAATACAGTTACAGAGGTGGTTATAATATATTACGAATCAGTACGGTGAAATGATCTATTAAATACATCTGGATAAAGGGGCATAAGTATATTTATAAATTCTAGAAGCATGGAATAATATGTATTTTGGGGTATTCATTAATGAATGAATTCAAAGTCACTTTTGGTTTTACTGGAAGTACTTATCTAAAGGTATCGGATGGGAATATGCGGAGGAACAGTTGTATGAAAAAACTGAAGAACCTAACAAAATACTTGTCAATTATTTAGGTTCCTACTCATGTCAGACGTTTTGGCCAGGTTTTTGGCAACCATTATTAGTATAGACAATGAACTCGGTAATGAATCCCGGAGAAACTCAAAAAGACATCAGGTAAATAAACACTCAATAAAAAGTACAAGTACTTCTACCAACTTTTCAAAATATTCATGAAGCAATTTTTTAAGGGAAGCATGAACAGTAAGTTCTTTCAAATTCTTTGCAGAAGAATTAAAAAACAAGTAAAATATTTTTCTTGACTTCTGGTGTTTTTTTATTTTTGAAGGGCTGCTATATCCCTTTTTGTTTCATTCTCTTCTAACATGAATTTTGTAGGAACACTCAGGGATGAAGTGTAACCCAGTAAGCAGAAAGTGCCAGATGTCTCTTACCTGACATCCCTGCTATTTATAAATTTATTTTTACAAAATTGAAAGTACTGGGTGACAGCTAAGGTAGAGTGGTGATACGTTTGTTGTGAGATTTATCTGTTCTACTAGCTCCATCCGTAGTTTTGGTTGATATTCGTGCATTATCTGAACAAAAGAAACTTTCCAGTGTTTTGAATTTTTCAATTGCCGCCCCCAGACACTGAATTTATAATTCCAATTTCTGAGTTACAAAAAATGCATGAAATTAGTTTTTCAAACAATTTATTTCTCAATATACTATTATGAATTATTAATCTCAATATGATCGAAAAAATTTAGATAATTATTTAATTACACATCTCAAATGTGGAGATGTGTAATTAAATCAATGTGAATTTAAAAACTTTCTCAATTTTTCAAAATTTCAGTTTTTCACTCGAATAATATACAGCAATTCAACCAATTCAATTATTGTTCTATGTCTACGAGTCTCTCAAATTGTTAACTTTAAAAAGTACTCATTTATTTAAATGATTAAATTTTGATGATAACCAATAATGACCATGGAATCATAACTTATATGAAATGAAAAAAAAATCCAGTTCCATAAACATAATGTTAAAGTTGATTCATGAGAAAACATTTGACGATTTTTCATGGAAAAACTTTCATTTTTATTTGAATGGTTCAATGTTCTAACTAAATTTTGGAAACTACATCCTAATTAATAGCAATTCAATGAAAGTATAAAATATTCAAATTGAAAAGATAATATTTTTTGCTTTTTTTATCTAGTAATAGCCATATGTAAATTTGACAATTCAAATAGAAAGTTGAAATGTTGTGAAGACAAAGTCGAAAATCAATTAGTTGAAGTTAATTATTTGCTTTTTTTATCTAATAATAGCCATATGTAAATTTGACAATTCAAATAGAAAGTTGAAATGTTGTGAAGACAAAGTCGAAAATCAATTAGTTGAAGTTAATTATTTCCTTTCTTTGGAAGCTTCCCACATTTTTGGATAATGATAGCGAAGTGGAAAGTGAATAATATTTTTTCTCATAATACCAGTTTAGAGATTTTGAATAGCTCACATGTCGTCGATGATATTGCTGAATGAGGAATTCAATCAATAGAATCCCATAGTGCGGTGGCATTTCTCCCCTGTATATGTTCCTGATTTATTATTGCAATGCATAGAAAACCATTTCCAGATGCTCACAAACAAATATCCAGTACCACAAATTCTATACTTGTTTTTTGTTAGTAACTATATATGATATTACTGGAGTTTTATCCAAAAACCAAACCGGTTTTTTAACACCCCGATAAGTGTTTCGAACACCAAGTGATCATCTTCCAGAGGAAGACTAAACGAGTTTAAACTTTACACAAGTTCACAATTCGCTCAGAAGATAACACAGTGTGTCAAAACAGCTGTTAGCATCAAATGTTAGTGTTGTGTGAATTGTAAAGTATTATTTTCATCCTACCCATTCAATTAAAATGAATTTACACATTAGAAGCCGAAACTGTTGAACAGAAATCTTATTCATCTTTATCATCTTTTCAGTATGTAGTGTATTGGGATGTCATTACCGGTATCCCAGTATGAAGCTTTGCTGGCAGAGGTTCGTGGCCTCAGGCGGAAAGCCCAACACGTTCAGCAGCTAGCTAGGCCTCTTTTACAAAGTGAATCTGCTTCGGGTACATTTCAACCGGAATCGCGAAGAACCCTAAAGGAGTTTGGGTCACCTACAGATGATCTACCACCTTCCAGTATCAGGGTAAGTTTGTTCTGTTTTCCTTAGAAAGAGAGAATTTCATGAACATTTAACAACCTTGTTGCTATGCAGTTGAAATGATATCAATAAAATTAGAATTTTCTATTGATAAAAATGTATACTACACTTTATTTGAAATACACTCGAAGTATTGAATTTCATTTTGGGGTTGTTGCAGCAGATGTCTATTTAACAGCATTTCTACACTACAAAAACGATTTATAAGATATATGTGTAAACTCTATTTCAATCACATACAATATTAACTGCAGAAGTAATATATATTTTAGAAACAGTATTCACAAAGTTCTCGGTGACCTCGAAAAGAAGTGCGGAGCCAATTTTGTTTTTTTACCATAGGCGTGCGCTCATATAATATTGTCTTCAAACTTTCTATGTTTTTTACCACTTTTATTTGTAACTAACGTTACTGCAGTTTTGTCCTCTACGGACATTTTCAAACGTATACAATAAGTTAATTGTATTTGTTAGTTACAAATAAAAGTGGTAAAAAACATAGAAAGTTTCATTTCTCTTTTCTTCATTATGATTTCCCACCACGTAGTAACGGCTACATCCATCAAATATTGTCTTTTTTTACATCTCCCATTTTCTAATCACTTAATAATAAAACAAACAACAATAACCAACTACGAAAACTAAAAACAATAATAACAACAGCGAATAAACTGAACACAATATCAATTTCCGACCGAGATGGAGTAGTAGAAAGCCAAACACTTTCTTTCTCAAAAATTAAATTTCATTTTCTTTATACACCTCTAAAGACTCATTTATTTACAATGTCTGTAAAATATATTATTTCTTACCAGGTGAAATCAAGAAAATGGAATTCCTTATTGTTTATTGAATTTAAAAAAAAAGTTGAGTACCTTTTGGAGAAAAAGCCTGTTACAATCTTGAAGAATTCCTTCTGATATGCTCTACTATTTATTCTTTTAACTTTGTTATTAAGCTTTTTTTTTACAATTTCCACACTTTCATATAAATATTTCAATAATTAATAGTGTTTGTACTGTACCTATTTTACTTGTCATTATACACTTTACTATACAGTACTGCACAATAAAGCATATTGTCATCATTATCGTCATCATTTCACATGCCCAACATTGTGATACTAGAAAATATAGCTTTTGATTTTGAAATATTGACAATTTTTAAATAAATACTAATAGTAATGCTTTTACTTTGTTATTTAAAACTATGTAGAAGAATCAAGTTTATGAGCAGTAGAACAAAGATAAAAAGAATATTTCTAAGAAATATTTCTGAGAAAATACACCAAGATACAGCTTGTCAAATATAGGATGAGCTTACTAAATTATTTTATGGTCTTGCCCACTAGACGTGCGCTCGTTAAAAGAGGGTGAGTGTGACAAAGAAAGAGAGACAGAGAGAATTCTCAAGTCTCTTCCTAGATTTGATAAGAGTACAGTTAATTACAGTAAGAAAAAATAAATCAGAGGAAATTGAACTCTGATTACATTATTTATATTCAATGCGGATAAGCCTCCATTCTCCCCGGTGAGAACAAGTTAACTGTATTAGACCGTTTTCCGATAGTATACTATAAAATATATTTTTGAAACGGACTCACGATGTGATTTGAAAACTGTTCAAATACTCTTGAGTTATTTTCAGCCTTCTCTGGCAATTCAATCACAGGGTAGGTCAGTAGAAACAAAATACGACTGATTTGTAATGGTTGGTGTTGAAATAAAATCACTTGGACCCACCAAATTCAATTTTGAGAGGGGAAATATTTTTAACCTTGTCACTTTCATTCCCTTGTAGAGGTGGTTGGGTTAGGTTCGGTTACAGGTGAGTAGGTCTATTCAACCCTACATTGAAACCTCATTGCGAACACAGCCTCCATTCTCCCCGGTGAGTGTTACAAGTTCAACAAGTTAACTGTATTAGACTGTTTTCCGATAGTATACTATAAAATATATTTTTGAAACGGACTCACGATGTGATTTGAAAACTGTTCAAATACTCTTGAGTTATTTTCAGCCTTCTCTGGCAATTCAATCACAGGGTAGGTCAGTAGAAACAAAATACGACTGATTTGTAATGGTTGGTGTTGAAATAAAATCACTTGGACCCACCAAATTCAATTTTGAGAGGGGAAATATTTTTAACCTTGTCACTTTCATTCCCTTGTAGAGGTGGTTGGGTTAGGTTCGGTTACAGGTGAGTAGGTCTATTCAACCCTACATTGAAACCCGTTGTGGGGTTTATTGTGGTTCTCACCAATTCAAACTCCATCAAAGGGGGGCTTATAACGAAGTCGATTAGATTGTTTGGTGCCCCTGTTAAGCTCGCAGAACCACTTTGAATTTTTATATTTATTTTAGGCTAATTTAGGCAATATTCCAGATTTTTTTGCTCTTCAATTAACGAAGATATTGTGGGTTCTGCTAGCTTAACGTTAGGCTAGCAGAATCAACCACAGACAAAGCATTTTGTTGAATCAGGTGACTTCATGAGTTTAGTCTCCTGTTGCCCCCTATCGCCAATTTGCTATTTGTTGTTTCTAAAAAAATATCTGGGTTCTGCTAGCTTTACCATTACACTGGTAGGACCGAATCGAAATCCTTCACTTTCTGCAATAATTTCAGGCTCATTTTTGGCTCCTTCATACGCTATTGAACAACTTTTTGCTCCTTGATTGAATTAAATTTTTGGGTGATTACCTCAAGCACATGTGGTAGAAGCGGAAATAATTTTTCTAAAATATTCTTCAGCTATAAGTGAGATACAAATATATTAAGAATCTTAGGCTCATTTTAGGTTCTGTTAACCCCTTATTGGCGATCTTCCATGTTTTGTAAAAAAATCAGAGTGAGAGTGTTCTTGTAGAATCTACTGCTGAACTGGCGGAATCAAATCAAAATTTCTCCTTTTTTAGCAATTTTGAAATTGCAGTAGTTTTGGGCTCATTTTAAAACAAATTTTTGGTACGCATTTGAATTGAATCTACACCAGCAAATCAAAGATTTTACTAGAGTAACAAATATTTCTGCTACCATTAAAAATAAAAAAAACGCAAAAAATACTCAAAAAATGGCATCATCACTCATAAAACCCCATAAAGTCTCTCCTTCTATCCCCCAAATCTTACCGAATAACCTCTATGAATGCTGTAACGTTGGCAAGGAGATTGTTCGAAAGATAGATTCTAACAACTTTTTTCGAAGAAACATTATCAGTAATCACCCACCTATCTTCTTGATTCCAGTTCAATTAAAAATTACTTGAATCAGCCTATAAAATCAGACTGATTGATTATTCAGAAAGAAGAAATCTATTGAGCTCCAATCAATATGGATTTTGAGAGGCAAAGTCTACAACCTCACTTACAACCTAATGAAAATAAAAAATTATGTGATAGGAGCAAATGCTGTTTCTTTCATTCAGACTTACCTGACGGAAATGTATCAGTGTATCTCAGATGGAAATGTATTATCTAAAAACCAAATTATATGAGGGTTCCCTAGGATCAATCCTAAGACCCATACTATTTATTATTGGTGAAACATGTTGAATTAGCTGATGATATCACATTATTAACTTCAATGGAAAATTCTTAATCTTATCATGAATATAAGGTTATGTCAGCAGGAGGTTGCATGTCTTAATGAGGATCTAGAAGTCATTTTGAATTGAGGTGGAAGTAACCAGGTTTAATTCAATGCCACAAAAACCCAGGCATCGGTTTTCTCCAAGAAGATAAATGTCTCTACCGGATATAATGATGTCAGTTCAGACAATTCCGTTTGTTGGGGGGTTAAAATGGACACCAATATGTCTTGGAACAATCATGTCATTGGAATTGCAAAGGCTGCCTCTCAAAAGCACCTCAGTAACTTTTGATGCTTTATAAAGCTCAGATCGAAGAAAGGTTGGAGATTTGTCGCTCTTCTATAGATACTTTCACGGGAAGTGTTCAAGTGACTTGGCACATTTGATTCCACCAAGAGCGGTATATATCAGAAATACGCGATGGACTGTGGCTACTCATCGTTTTGAGATTCAACTCAGTACACCTCGAACTTCACTGCTTAAGGACTCTTTCATCTGGAGAACTGCGATTATTTGGAATACGCTTCCTGAGAACGTTTTACCAAATGGATTTAATTTCCAGCGATTCAAATCCAATGTGAATCGCTACTTTCGCACAGACATCGCTCTGAGAGCGCCTTAAAAACTTTCCTGTAGTGCTTGTGTTTTGTTCTTTAAAAAACAAGCGTTACTCATTACACTGAATCACAACTTAATTCTGGAGGACAATTTACCGGAGAAACGTTTGGGATTAACATTTGATTGTGAGCTCACATGGATTATCAGATGATAAATCTCGGAAATAACTTAGTTTCCATCAGACATCTTTTGAAAAATGTCAACGATATTATAAATGAAGTGGTTGTTTTTATGATCTACCATGCTCTTCTGTACTGTACTATGTACTATATTATTATTATATGGGATTGATTTGTACATGCTGATAAATTTCTCATAATGGAAAAAAGGGCAATAAGAGTAATAACAAATTCCAAATTTGATGAAACTTGTTGTCGACTATTTAAAAAATTAGATATATTGACTGTTACTTTTCTGCGATTCCAAGAATCGCATTTATCGGATATCCTGCGAGTGCGGAGAATCATACATTGGTGAAATTAAGAGGCCATTGAAAGTTCGCATTGCCGAGCACAAGAAACACACACATCGAGGAGAAACCAGCAAATCAGGAATAGCAGAGCATGTCTGGACTCATCAACACAACATCAAGTGGGCTCAAGCTGAAATCATCCACAAAGAAGAACACTGGTTTAGGAGAACATTCAAAAAAGACGCGTATATGTTGTCCAACAACGCATTTAGTCAAGCTAGCGTAGAGATACGTAACATATGAAAACCTCTAATCAAGTGGAACACTACCAACTCCTGCCAAACGGTCAGCTTCCGCTAAAAAC